GTTATTTCATTAGACTTACATCATACAGTTACGCTATGCTTAATTATTAGATAATTTTATCGTGATACAACTGCACTTGTATTTTTATAAATATAATAGGTTCATATGTAATTCTTACTATCAAAGACTGAAAAGTGACTTTATTGTAAAAATCGTTGCCATATGTCTGGTTAGCGGCCTTGAAATTTCCAGCACCTACTGCTGGAAATTTCTATTCGAGGCTAGAAGGCCCAAACATGCTGATAGTAACTTATTCGCGGTTAGTGGGATCGGACTTTCCAGCAGTAGCCCATTCGAGGTAAGTTTGCTTAAGCTTGCCCAAATTGGACTGACCTGTTCATCTAATGATTAGTGACCCTAACTGCTAAGCTAGAGGTGGTGGGTTCGATTCACACCCAGGACAAATAATTGTGTGATGAGCACGATCATTTAGTATCTGGGTGTTATTTAGTGATATATAAGTATGTTTATCAGCAGTCTGGTTATCAAAGTACAGGCCCTGCCTAGCTTGGGATCAGACTGCCTGGTGCAAAGTTATTATTATTGTTATATCACGTAAGTGGGACTAAAATGTGGACGTTTAATACGCCTCTGCCTAATGCCACTACTATATAGACGTGAGGATGTAGAATGTATTTCTAAAGAGAATTATAAGTAATAACAACCGACTCTTGTTTTTTTTTATTGCCGCTTAACATTTCGTTGTTCAAATCATATAAGTATGTATATATTTTGTCAAAATGTTTTTGTTCGGTCTACCACTGCGTCCTATATTCTGCAAAGAAAGCTTAAAAAATAAGCCATACGCTTCATTACATGTATAAAATACTGCATGTTTTAAATATATTCTAAGTTTGCTTACTGCAGTGTCAGTAGTGTCACGTTCGTAATTGATTTCAGCTGACTTTTAAGAAAAATCAATTGAACTTGAAATTGATCGACTGATTATTGTGGTTTAAATTAACTATTGTTACACTTGATTTCATTTCGTTGTTCATCAAAGTAATGGCAGAACGTGTCGTTAGCTTTGCGAGACATATACATCCGCATCGACGATTTTTTTAGCTCAGCGTCTTCGGTGAAGATTTGAACTCTAGTTTTAATAGAAAAAGTTTTACTTAGGTCGGCGGAGAAGTATGTAGCAAGTCCTTGGGTCAACTGGTGATCTACCTGTGCTACGCAGACCGTTACGTGCGCAGGTGCGCCGCCGCCAGGCTCTACGAAGCGCTAACCCTCTACGGCGACGTGTGTTCTGTGCCGCAGGATAACATTGATCAGGTGAGTTTTTATATAAGGGCAGTGTGCTTTAAAATACTTGTATTTAATTATATCCTAATCATATTTTATTACTGCAATTTTATCATTAAAAAGATGAAATCAAAATTGAAAATATAAGAAGTCTTTAAACACAAGCAATAGTTCATATCAGTAAGGATTTTTAAAAATTATAATTTCCAAGGTTTAAAATAAATAATTTCTCCTGCATCACTAATTGCAACACTCAAAACTACTGCCGGACTTATCCTTTATAATCAATTTAATGTTGTTATTGAATTGGTATCTTCAAATCAACTTTAAATATAAATAATTTGACAACAGCTAGGTATGAAGTCACGCCAAAATATTACAAGAACTGTTAAAGACTGTAAAGTCAGTATCTGATTTGACTTGACGGTCACCCTACTGCCCTACAATTTGTGTCTACCTATCGTCAATTAAATAACAAAAAGCGGTGCACAACTTTTTAGTTTATTTTTATGTAAAAACTAGTTACCCGCGCAACCTGGTCTGCTTCTTTCGTTAGGAATAACTTTTGCCCCGTTTTTGCAATATATTTCATTGACACTCCGCTCCTATATGTCGTACCATGATGTTATATATGAGATATCCTTCTCATATAAGGGCTATTCAACACTAAAAATATTTTTTCCATTCGAACCCTGTAGTTTTTGAGATTACCCCGAATATAAATAAAAAAAAAAAAATCTACTACTAAATTATTTTAACAATACTTGATGAGACTATAGTAATGTATTGTATGTATAAAAGTTATTTGCTTGTGCTAAATATTAAATAATTTCCCAATGAATTGTATAATACCCCGAACATACAAACTCACAAACTTCACCTCTTTATAATATTAGAATAGACCTCTCACAGTCTTCTGTCTCAGTCACTCACTCACTTTATATATTATGAGATTTTAAAGAAATCTGTTCGATTTTTTTGTTTTCTTTTTATACAAACCTTGTCCTGACAATAACGAACTCGATAAAAAAAATTATACAAATTGGTGTACTTGTTCTCAAGTTATACATATAATATTTTAAAAAAACTATGTAGATGTATCACAACTTATTATGTATATATGTTACATATACATTCGGTTCGTTTTTATTTTATTTTTATAGCCTTTTCCACTTTACTATCATATAAACCGTTTCTTTTTATAGCAATTAATTACCTGGTGATAACGTCAGTTGCGTACTAATTGTACATATTTTACGTAAGTTTTTAACAATTTTCAGTGCAAAGCGATAAAGGATATTATAATTTTCTGATAATGCATTATCCACAGTTCCATGAACCGTTGCTTAACAATTTGCTTATATTTTAAACAATACTACCTGTGATGCCTATCTACATAGAGCAACACAGGCCACCGGCGGACCAGAAGGGAGTAGCCATAGCGTCTTTTCGCGATACAAAATAGTCTGTAATTTTTGCGGGGAGGAATCTTCACCACGCACACATTCTCGAACTTCCATACAAATACAAAAACAATTGGCTGTCACTACGGAACTCACACATTACTATTAAAACAACACATTAACAATTTCACGAACACATATACACATTCTGTGTAATAACAGTGTAATGAAGTGACACACTACATTGACATGTTGCCAAACAACTAAGGCTGTAACAACTATCGATACGCAATATCGATAAATTCGAGAAGTCGGTTAGGAAATTAGCTTAAAAAGTGACACAAGAGTGGATATTAATATCTATAGATATGACTTTATTTATAACTACAACAATCACCATTATATTACCAATAGTTTTATCTGTCACTGGTTTTTTAAACTGGATTAATTTTTGTAAAAAATATGTCGAACACATGTCTGTGGGTTAGCTTTTTAACCGACTTCAAAAATGGAGGAGGTTCTATGTTCCACTGTATGTATATTTTTTTTCATTAAGAATGTTCCATCCGTCTATTGTTCTCCAAACACTTAAAAGTCTTGGTCTTGAAATGATATTGTTTCTTTTACCTACAAGAAACAGGTAAGGTATAAGTTTTGATAAAAGTTCTTCGATATAGCCATTAAACTCGGAGATTTAGGAAACCTGCAATAAATACATAAAGACAATTTGGTCGTAGTTCACACTTAGTAATTTTTATATAATATTTTAATACTCGTAAGTATAGTAGTATATTTGATTTGGACGCAATTTAATTTTAAATTATATTAAAATAAAGCTCACAATCCACATGAATATATTAATTATGTCAGAAAACATAATCTCAAAAATGATAATCTGCACGAGAGACATGGATGTATTTGTTTTATCGATATCTAACTATTTACAAACCGGTAACAACATTATCGCTCGGTGATAGCGATTATAGCAACACGACACTCGGATCGGTCGCTCGACCGATCTATGTATGAAGCGAGCGGCGTCTGTTGGTAAACAAATCTAAAACAATACAAACGTTATATTTGTAAATTTAAAGTTTAGTAATAAATTTATTAAAAATTACAACTTGACCTGGCAAATCTCATTTTTAAGCAAAAAACTGAACGATTCGGCATTCTTATAGGGCGGCTACTGTCGCCTACTCGGCAGCGCAACTAGATTTAGTCTAGTGAGCGGTCTGGTCGAAACTAGTTTTATAGTACGCATATGACCATGTGGACTTGTACTTCGGCAGAGGGAGAGCTATCCCCTACTGTGTTGCTCTATGCCTAGATAGGCAATTGATAGATATCAATTAGACTCGATTAAAATAATACTATCACGCAAATATTTGGCTCATTTTAGAGCACTTTTGTCAGTGTGAAGTGTTTCTAAGAGACATTTTTAAATAACCTTGTTTACTAATATTAATTAGTAGAATGTAATTCGGGAGATGGACAGCCAAGTTCATGAAATGCAGGTAGGTGGTAGTGGTGGTAAAGCAGGAATGTGAAGCATTAGGATTGTTCAGGTCAAAACCTCCTTTCTAAGGAGAGGCCTAAGTCAAGCAGTGGACTGTCAATAGCTTTTGATGTTAAGTAGGTATTGAGGAGTTTTGCCGCTGTTCATAATTGATGCTAAACATCACTGCTCTCGCTTTCTTGCATCCGTTAGTGATTTTGTAAAAGGGAACAAAAGTGTGTAACGGACAGACCGGAAAAGGCGAGCTATTTGATTTAGACAATGATCGTGGGTGGTTCTACATTTTAAATATCATATGCATAATATAATAATTCGACTAATGTGAGCTTATTTCTTTGCATCATATATTTATTTCAACTTCTGATTTTGTTATTAAAAATAAAACTAGGAAAGATAGAACCGTCAACGCAATACAGAGGGTAGATCAATGGTTAACGCTTTCCATTATGTTCACAAACTGCACGGATGGCGTGGTGGTTTAAACGGTCACCTCACCGCTTTCTACTGCGTTGAGTGTTGTGGATCCCCACACATTACAATACTGTTGTGTGATCCTTTATAATTCTGAGTTTGGATGTTCTTTGTGTCCGTTTCATGAACGTTTGTAAAGCCCCTCGCGACACAGGACGTATTCGTGTCTCTTTAGAAACAAACCTAATAGTTATATAAAAAAACTGTTTACTTCGTACCGAGTCGATCTTCACCAACGCAATAACTGAAATAATAACAAAGTTCACGGACGTAATAAAGAGTTTATCGCTGCAGCTTAAATTTTAATGTTTGCGATGAACAGTACAAGTTTAGTGAACGGTTATCAGCTCTAGATATACTGAATGGCACAAACAGTCACCGTATGCCACGAGTTATGTGACTCATTTGTGAAAATTGAATTTAGAAAATTATCATAATCTGATTCTCTCGCTCGATAACAACTCTGCCGGCTCCTTCTGCGAGCAAGTTATGCTCGCGAAGGAGACGGCGGAGCGGGACCGGGAGAGGTTTAGAACTCTCCCGGCCCGCCAGGCCCGGGAACGGGCCAGGTACCGCAGGCGACTCAAAGGCCGGAGGTCGCAGAACGACCTCCGTCCTCCATAAGCGCAGGCCTGGGGGTGACAGGTGAGGCCATCTGTCACCCTAGCAGAAGCAGGCCGGGGTGGCTGCGAGCGCGTTGCGAAGCGTGCTCGCTTCCAGGGAACATGGGGTTCCCACACGGGGGGGGGTCGTCTACTCGTCTGTAGATGACCCGAGGTATGTCGGGGCACCAGGGACTTCCTTTCTAGGGTATACCTGGTTCCCCGGCTATTAGTACCCGGCGACGGCGTGCGGTTTTAGTCGGTTCGAGTCCGACATGCCACCGACAGGTGGTATCCGAGGGGATTTCCGCACGGAAAAAAAAAGGTACCGTAGAGGACTCAGAGGAGGTAGCAGAACGTCCTCCGTCCTCCATAAGCGCAGGCCTAGTGGTGACAGCTGTGGCCATCTGACACCCTAACAGAAGCAGGCCAGGGTGGCGGCCATAGAAAAAGTAACTAAGTACTCCTTTTAACCGACTTCAAAAAGGAGGAGGATATCATTTCGGATGTTTTTATATATTTTTTATGTATGTTCGGACATAACTCCTTATAATATAGACTAATTATAAAATTCTTTTTTTTTCGAAAGTGGTTTATTCCGAAATAGTCCCATTTAAATTTAATACAGATCTGATGACAAGTTTCAGATACAGACAACATAACTGTTCAAAGAAAGACAGCAAATGAACCGCGATTTACTGCTAGATTTTTAATGATCTTTGTTAGTATTATTTGAAGTCGGTTCAACTGTTTTTTTAAAAGGCTTTATTTAATTTACGTGTATAATGTTTACTCGTTTGTTAACTACGACTTTTGGTTGTTATAATTTATACATGTGTGCTTCCGACTCGTAAAAATATCGGAAAGGATTTACTTACAGAAGTAAATATCATTTATAGATGGTGAGAAAAGGCTCGGGCTTTTCCAAATAGTCAGTTCGAGTTACCTAGATGCGACCCTGATCTACTTGAACTATTGCTTCCATTCCTCACTCCATCCCTATAAGCAATATCCGTATCTTACCTATCCCTTCTCTTCTATATTTCTTTTCAAAATATTCACCATTTTCCCATCTACAAAGTCCTCGTACTAAAGTATCCATTTGATGGCAACCATCTTGCCTCCCATCACTTAAATAAGACTAAAGTCATAGTCAAAATGTACGCGTTTAAAAAAAAACCCTTTGATAACCCATTTCATTTTTTATTTCAGGGAATGGGTTAGCAAAGGCAGCAATTTTTTTCAGCTTGATGAAATATTTAGATTGATTTGAATATTTCCTTATGTATGATTAAAATAGTTATTATTTATGAAATGAATGAATGAATTAGCGGCAGTATATGTGTTTAATTTTTTTTATCTATAACGTGTTAATAGGAAGTAAGTTTGTTTTGTCACGAAGCTTTGACCTGGTCGGTGACGAAGTCATTATGTAGAGTTACAACAGCAATGGCAAACGATAATTAATGTTAACACCATTCGATAACATCCGATAAGGAGTTCTACCGCTCCATGTCTAAACCTGTCTTCAAGGCCTTATTTATATATACATGTATGTTTATGTATTCTTTGAAATAAATGCACGTTTTGCAGATACCTCAGTAAAGACGTTAATGAATTGAGGGACCTAGATATACCGCGCCATAAATCTGTCATTACAGAAAGATTTTTCAAAATATTTTCAGAAATCTAATAATTCCCGAAAAAGTTAAATATGAAATGTCATATTCTACATATTTGGGCATTTGAAATCTTAACTAAATTCTTAAGTAAAAATGATTAACCCAGAGATACTACTTTCTGAGATTTAGGTTATGCCACTATGCACGCGTCTGGATTGAAGGCCATAATATTTTAATCCTAACAGTTTTTCTCGAAATGCATAGCCATTTGCTCCAAGTTTTTACTATTTATTATTTCCCTACAAACATTATTTCGTTTCGCAGACATTTAAAAAATGGGCCCTCGATCCAGATACACACGTTTAATTAGTATCGGCTACTTTATAGTGTTTTCAGTAACAATTCTTTTACTACAATTCGTCATGTTTCCATTGTTTTTCAAACTGTGCCATCATGTCATATCGTAATTATGCAGAATAAAATAAAATAAAATCGAACTACAGTACATAAAGAAGCCATAGATTGGAAATAATTACTATTACTTTTAAGAGTACTAAAAATTTCTTCTTGGTTCAACCAAAACCATTTACTGATGACGATGTTGTAGTAAACCGCTTTAATCAATTTAAATGATTTCACCTAGATGGTTATATCGTCAAAGATTAAACGTGAGGTCGCTTTATCTAATAAAAATCGTTGTAAAAAATATTATTTATTGCGTAAGCAGTTTTTTTAATAAAAGTGTGTGATTATTCTGTTGTTACAATTCGTTTTGATAACACAATTTTATTATAAAATGTTTTTCCAAAAATATTTGAAACCCGTTGCAACACACATATATTTTTTTTATTTTCAGATAATGTCGGTCCTCGCTGAAACCGACTGGGAGAAAGAAGTATCTGAACTAAGACCGATAAGAAACGGCCTATGCGATTTAATGGACATCAAGAAGCCTGTCATGAAACAGAAAACACCTTCATAAAACGTAATACTTTGTTAATTAACCCAAGTGCTTTTGCTAATTGTCTTAGCTTTTTTATTGAATGAAGAACATGCTTTAACAAGTTCGACTTGCTACTGTAATGTCTATAGTTTTTGACATTTTTATTGCGAAGATCTTGCAGTTGTCTTAGACGGTGTTCTTTGTATCTCGTGTGTGAGCGAATGTTGTCGTTCGTCAATGTTTTTTTTTAATACTAAATAAATATTTACACTTGCTAATGTGATAAATTACGTGTAAGTAAAAACAGTAACGTAACATTCTATTTTTCTTGGTATATCTGTTACATTTGCGACCTCTGACACAATTTCACGTAGCGATAACGATTCTAACACGTTTAGCTAGCTTAGTTATGTATTATCCTTCTAATGGTTTGATTTATCTGGATATTGATTGATGCATTTATGTTACTCAATGTTATACTAATAAACTTATCTATTTATTTATATTTAGTTTGATTTATTTACAAGTATTCTTAACCTACACCAGTTTTAGGTACAATCGTGAGTAATTCAGCAACAACATTTGCAGCAGAAATCATGTTAAGGAAAAATAGCGTTTATATCTCGTAAATATAGCGTTTAGAATTTTATTTTAAAACAAAAACACAGTAAATCAGTAATTTTTGTCTTAATTGCTTTTTAATAGAAAGAAAAATAACGATTAGTAGTAATGCAATTTAACCGCCATACATAATTAAAAACACTACTCGCTATATTTTAAAAGTACAAACGCTATAATTTATTTGATCGTTCCACTTCAGCCAAGTATTTGAAGCTGCGTTTGATCCTGTGGTGCCTCAGCGACGAGGTTAGACCAAAACGTTCCGTAGTTCTTGAGAACCGTGCCGCTGTAAAGAAAATAGTTATTTGTTATTAATAATAATATATATCAGTTTTATATGTCTGACATTTGACACAGGGTACGATATGATGCAGTAAGTAAGATAAGTTTTATTTTTTACTATCCAAAGCTTAGCAGAATAACATGAATTAAATACAAAACTTGAGATCTAGATTTATGTGAGAAATAACTCGAAAAAGGGTTATGTGAACTAATAAAGGACTTGACTGCCTCGGTAGTGCAGTGGTTTGCGGCGAGCGCGTTACGAAGCGCTCTCGCTTCCAGGGAGCACAGGGAACATGGGGTTCCCACACGGGGGGGGGGGGGGGGTCGTCTACTCGTCTGTAGGTATGTCGGGGCACCAGGGACTTCCTTTCTATGGTATACCTGGTTCCCCGGCTATTAGTACCCGAGACGGCGTGCGGTTTTAGTCGGTTCGAGTCCGACATGCCACCGACAGGTGGTATCCGAGGGGATTTCCGCACGGAAAAAAAAAGGTGCAGTGGTAGTGTATGCGACTGCTGTGCTGTCTCGGGTTCGATTCTCCCAGGTCGGACCAAATGTTTGTGTGATCTGCAAATATTTGTTTCGAAGTTTTCTATGTATAATATGTATGAATTTACAAAAAAAAAGTATAAAAGTATTCTATTATCAATCTTGCTTTCATAGTACAAGCTCTGCTTAGGTTGAAACTAGATGCGAGTTGTGTGTCAGATGTCCCAAATATTATTAATTGCGTCAGCAGATCACGAGTTCTATACATTATCATACTAAATATTATTATTAAAGGAAATATTTTTATTTTTTTGGATATGGTATAGGTTATGGTATAGGAGGTCCAAGGTTTTACTGATAGTAACGACCGCTGCTCATGTATCCCTGCAACTCGGGAGTCACAAGTGGGTTGCCACCCTTTGAATCCTCTCCCCAGAATGAGGGAGGAGAGGTCTGGACTCCGCTAATCTCACTTACTCGGTGCAACGAAAGAATAGCTGAACACTATTGCGCGGCCGTGGTCTCACTTCAGTCGAGCCGAAGCAGGACTCGGCCACGTTTAACAGATTCGTGGCCACTGCCGCGCCATTGACGTCATGTAAAAATATTAAGTGAGGCCAATGACGCACCTAGCGTCATATAAAAATTATTGAAAAACAATAAAAAGTTAAACATTAGTAATGCAACTGCAATGTTTTATACCCTAATAAAACATGTTGAAGACAATTTCTGGTGTCGCCATTTTAAAAATATAAAAAACAAATAATAATTAATATAAGTCTGACGTTCTCAACTATTTTTACAGCTTAATAAATTGTTTATTTTCCATTACATAAGTGAGAATGGGAGAGGCCTATGTCCAGCAGTGGACTGCGAGAGGCTGATGATGATAAAGTGAGCGGTGCTTTTCACTTTTTCTTCTCTGTAACTACATTATTACCGGGGTTTGCATGCAGCGTGTATTTTTAACCCACTTAAAAAAAGGAGGAGTTCTCAATTCTGTCGTCTGTATTCCTATGTATATCCTTAATTTGTGCCATTGGCATTTTATTTATTTAAGTTTTCTTTTTAAAATAAACGTAACGTTTTGTAATATTGACTACTACATTCAGGAAACTTTCAGTTTCGTTACTGTAACCTTTCTGACCTTGTTCGTTTAACAGGGCCAATGACGTTTCTAGCGCGGCATCGAACAAATGTTTTGGCCCGTGCTAATAATTAACTGAAAAGAATGTGTATTGTAAACGACAGCACTGAACCACACCACTGACTAGTGATGTATAACATGAAATAAAACAATTCGTTATATGTTAATTTTTAATGATGGTGTTAAATTGGTAGAGTTTAGAGGGATTCGTAAAACAACAATTGTAGTCTTTACAACAAAAAACAACTAACCTAATTTATAAAACTTGATCCGATAATTATACAATAACTTTTAATTTCTTTTTTTTTCTGTTATCTGCTTTCTTAAAAGCAACTTCTGGAAACTTCTGGAAAAAGCTTTCTAAAAGGCCACGGTCGTGATCTTACGAATGAAAAATAACTGATATCGATAAATGCATAAGTTTGGTGTTAGAACTTTATTACGGTGGTGTCGTTAACAACACTCAGTTAAGAACCCCCCACGTCTTATTCAGTGGATGAATGAGCGTGCGTTCCCATTCAAAAGTTCCCATTGAACTTTTGAATGCGTCAGCTTCTAGTTTGTAAAAGTAGCAATTCAAAAGTTCCAATCGGTCAAAGGTGGTCCCTCAGTCGTGACTGACAGGCATCCATATCATCAACAGCCTATACTAGACCACTGCTGGACATAGGCCTCTCCTTAGAAAGGAGGTTTTGGCCTACTATACCACGCTGGCCAGACGGGTTGGTATAGGGTTTGTTTCAAGTTTTCCTTCTCTTTGCAGTGCTGTTGTCCTGCTTAGTTTGCTCCCTTAGTCGGCTCTTACGACACCCACGGGATGAATTGGGGTAGTGACAATTTGTATTCTTAATCCGTCACCACACGGACTCATCCATATCATAAAACTAATTTATTAAATGTCAACCTTTCTCATTCTTTTTATAAAAAGAACTATGGCTAAAAGTGGTTTTCCCCAATACCCACATCCCTTACAAAAATTTGGCCATTTGTACCCCTGGATAGTCTCTTTAAATCGACATGTATTAAAATGCTTTGCATGACCTTTGAGATGTTTATTGAGATCTCCTCAAGTCGGAAGCTGCACACGGTTCGGGAGTATTTTTATGATTTGAGATCTCTAGTCAAATGTCAACATTCATTTATCTTAATAATAATATTTACACACTTCTAACACACGGCGGTCTGATCCCAACTAGGCTAACTTGTACTATGGTAACCAGACTGTTAATAAACATACTTTTATATTTTTAAATACACGACAATAATGAAAATACTCCTTAAACATTATAATTATGCTTGGTCGTATGAATGCCGCCCAAAAATGTTTATACCTCTAAAACACACGCTTCTCGACTTTTTTTTTTCTTTTTGATAACTACCGCACTAGGAATATCTAGGGTCGTGGGCACTCACAAACATCCATCGAGCATGCACAAAGAACACCCAGACGAAACAACACTTTGTGAATCACACAAACTGTTTCCCCATGTGGGGATCGAACCCACGACACTCAGCGCAGTTGAAAGCGGCGAGGTCACGACTTGAACCACGATGCAGTCATTGGCAGAATTGTCGACATCAGCACGGTTTGCCATATACAAAAATAATAATAACCAAGCAAAATTGTTGAGGGATATAAAAGGCCTTTTGTGTTTTTTTTTAAATTAAAATGGTTGAATCATAATGGATGGGTAGCATATTACCGCTTATAAATACGTACCTATATAACTACACCAAAAACACGAGTATGGAAACTTGGAAGGAACCGTTATGACACGTTCAAAATTGAGTACCTTCATATTTTGCTAGGGTTTGCCCTAGTTAATGTAGCCTTACTCTCACGCCTCTCGTGATTAAACTTTTGTTACCATCAAAAAGGTTAGGAAAAGCTTTTGTAATATTTATTTGTTTATTTTAACTTCATGCATAAATTTATGCGTCTTTGTACTTATACATTCTTGATTCAGAAATAGTATGAGGTAGGTAGGGCCCTTAAAAGAAGGTAATAAATAAGGATTCACTAAAGGAATTATTAAGGATTTTCTATTTAAGAAATTCTTTAGAGAATATTAAATATCACGTTGTAGTAACTAACATTTAAAAAAAAGTAAGTACCTACTACGAATTAATAGCCTCATATTTTTTTTTAGTACCAATCGTGTACATAGAAGTCAAAGAACTCGCTAAATCCTTGAGAATGTTCTTTTACTGCGACAGTTTACGAAATCGATAGCAAATGGTTGATGAATGTTCTACCAAGTGTCGAAACTAGATTTACAGCATGTGAGTCAAGCCACGCTACTTACCGGATGACCAACGTCACATTTCAATAAATTCAAGGATAATGGCGCGTATTTAGAATCATCTAATGTAAATGTTGATCATTCTCAAACGATATATTGAACATAGCCGAAGTTTATCTAAAGGTCAGTCAACGTGTGCACTCATGATCTTGGTAACTTGTTGACGTTGCACAACTGCCACTTATATTAGATGGAGTGAAAGGACTAGTGTTATTAGGGCACAGGTCGATAACCTCATTACAATTTCTTGCCTCAAATCCAACTATGGGAACGGACGTTGTATGTAATTACGTTTAAATAATTAAATTGATAGTATTACGTAACGATTATAGTGGCAAAAAAACTATTAAACCCTATTTTATGTATATAAATTAAATAAAGGAAGACGAGCCAATAACCAAGAATTTATAAGGCCCCTGTAAGTAGGCGAGCCGGTGCGGGTCGACGTAGACTCGCGGAAAACACACTGAACATATCAGTAGTGTACTGAAAAGGAGCCCGGATAAAAGCACTCGTAACCATCACGCCCCCAGCGCTTTAGAATAGAATAGAATAGAATAGAACATTTTATTTTGCAAATATGGGTAATACATGATAGGTGTTACAGTACATTGAAGCTCAACCATATTTTACCAGTGGCGTGCAAACACTGTCCGTGTAGTGACGGATTAAGAATACGGAAGGTCACTACCCCAATTTATCCCGTGGGTGTCGTAAGAGCCGACTAGGGGCAAAAAGAAGGAAAACTTGACACAAACCCTATACCAACCCGTCTGGCCAGCGTGGTATAGTAGGCCATAACCTCCTTTCTAAGGAGAGGCCTATGTCCAGCAGTGGACTATTAAAGGCTGTTGATGATGTGCAAACATTTTTTGTATTAGGCTGAAAAACATGCTTTTGACTCAATCCGCAATAATATTAATTTTAAGTCTTAACATTGGGTAATAAAAATCAGTAATGACACAATAGTAAACATACCATACAAACTCGACAATAGACATCAAGATTTGTCGTTATAGTATCGTATCTTATATAAGATACATCACATACATACACAGATAGAAAATTTTAAATGCTATTTAATTATTAAGTTTTGCTCTTATATATCTAGAACAGAAGTCGATACACCCAAAAATGTCAACTGTCTACTTATAAGTTTTTGAGTGCCATTTATTACGGTGCATAAGAAATAGCTCAACGATTTATGTTCAGCGTATACTTTGTGGCAAAGATACCTAACCTAGTCCTGGATTTGGCTCTCACTTTTAATGTGCGTAACACAAAACTGTATAATCTGTTTTCCTCCTTCGGGTATATTTTTTTTACTTATGGATAGGAACACTCACAAAGAATCATCAGTATTTTCGTAATCGACGAACATAACATAACCTAAACACATAATATACCACGCCCACAGATTATTTTTAGTGGGTCAAATAACGTAAATCGGACGGATAGTTCGTATTAAATAAACAAACTGCGCTTGATCGTTTGGGAATCCTTTTTCTGTTGCTCGGGTAGTAACGTGTTCCTGAAAAAGCGAGCTACTAACAGAAATTAATCATTTCAGACTTATAGAAACAATGAATGTGTATTTAGTAGTCCACTGCTGGACATAGGCCTCTCCTCAGAAAGAAGGTTTTGGCATACTATACCGCGCTGGCCAGACGGCTTGGTATAGGCTTTGTTTTAAGTTTTCTTCTCTTTGCAGTGCTGTTGTCCTGCGTAGTTTGCTCCCTTAGCCGACTCTTACGTCACTCACGAGATGAATAGAGGTGATGACACTTCGTATTCTTAAGCCGTCACCACACGGACATAATACATGGAATGATTATCAATCTAAATATCTATAGAACTATTGTAAGATGCAACTTAGAACTGGTGTTACAGACATAGGCATGTAACACAATTATATATTTTTTATTGTTGTAATATGTAATTGTTTCAAGAAGTTATATGCAAGTTCTCCGATATATTGACAACATTTAATGTAAACAAGACACAATGACAATGCAAAACAATCTATATTATTTTAATATGACCTCGACACCATTTTTGCACCCGTTAACTTCTCAGGAGGTTCATAAGGTTGACGGGCGCAAAAGTATCTATACTGAATTGTTATGTAAGTATTAAAACATATCAACATCAACTCAGGATGTTTGTTTGTTATATTAATTGATTAAGTACCCAATGAGAGAGAAAGAGATAAAGTAATTGGCTTACCACGTTTTTAAACAATATGCTGTCTACTCAAAAATATTTGATTGGTTTTTCTTTGAAAATGCATAGCTCCTTATCAACTTTCATTTACGATTTAATCGAACGAAGGAAATCCGTATTTGCTTTGATTCATATCAGCCAAAAAATTAAAAAAATTTAAAAATTAGTTGGTACATATTTTTTCTAAACTTTTTTTTATAATAAGAAACCAAATTTCATAATTTGAATATTTTAAAACGTTATAGCCCGGTTCATGTGGCTATCAACGTAGAGTTGGCAAAGGGACCTTCGTTATCGTAGGAAAGTCGTCCCAAATATTAGAGTCAATAGATTCAAAAAAAGAAGGATACACTTTTGGTTTTAAATCAGAAAATCTTATACACAGCAACAAAATTTATTTAAAACGTTTTTGTTGTAAAAAATCGTAAGTTATACCTAATGATACCTACCTATACTGAACTATTTAACAACAGCTTCGTCTGCATTAAAACATACAATCGATCATAATCGAGCAATAATAATTATTCTTGGTTTCAAGTCAGCGCGTTTAGCGCACCCCAAAAGTGACCTTGGACTAAATTTACCCTTTATCGTGGCGATTAACGTATTAAGTAAGCCCCTGAAGCGAATGTAGATCTTTAAAGGGCAAACTTGATCAGTTCGATATTTTTTCCGATTCATTTAAGGATTTATAACGGTTTTATGATTTTCGTGCATGCCTAATGGTGGAGTATGGTATTTGAACAGAAAATTGAGGCTAAATTAAAAATCCATATTCGAAAATCAAAAATTATAAAAGAACTTCAAACACAAAACATTAAATCTATTTGCATAATCGCCACTCATTACTGTTCAGGTTTATTATTTTATTATAATTATGTAGAAATTCAATAGCTCTTTATTTAAATTTAAAGCTCTTAACCTTTTTTAAAAAAAATGCAATCAGTTTCATCCTTTTCATTCAAACCTTTGTCAATCTTCATAAGCTTTATCATCGTGTAGTTTTTTTTTTTTAAATTCTGTACCTATGTAAGTATACGGTGTTTATAAAAATAAATAATAAAACTTACGTAAAATAAACCTTGCCATGTGCATTTGGTGGTGCTCTCCACAAAAGCGTGGCCCGTGATTTGAACTCCGGGTCCGCGTGTGTTATAGACGCACACTCCGGGTGTATGGTCGTGTTGGGCGCCGGTTCCCACGCTCCAATCCAGTTGTTGTTCTCAAAGGATCTCGCTTGTAGGAAGAACCCCTTGAATGGTTCACTGCCATCTATTGTTACTGCAGATTAAAAAACTTTTGAGTTAACAAAATTAGGACGTGTTTATTTTGTATAATTTTAGTCCAAATTGAGGCTAAGTCTTATCAAAAGAGTGCAGCATATATTAACCTGCGTTATCTTTATTAAAGTCTTAATATGTTTTTATATGTGCAGGAAGTTAAATGTACCTACTCCTTATTTTAGAATATCTACAAACAAAATATCGACGTCCTACATACATACTATTTACAAAATATACTTTAAGGATTTACTTGAAGACTACATATTTTTTAAGCATGTCTGTATTTAACATACGTTGGTGTTATATCCCTACAGTGATTTGGTAAACCTCTCAAAAATTTATATTACCGAGGTCAACTTTTATCACCCTAGAGCAAAAACTGGTTCAACCACTGTAAGCCGCCTGACCTACAATAACATATGTACGATGTTGTACCACATACGGCTTACGCAACCGCACTTACGAGACTTGCGAACACACTACCCAGTTCTAACTATATCGGTTGATTTTATCAATGAATTACTTTGTAGTATAATAATAATAATACCTCACACATCTCACACGCGGCTGTCTGATCCCAAACTAGGCAGAGCCTGTACTGTATTGTAAACATACTTATATATTTATAAATATATAAATATTATAGATCAATTACACCCATACAAAGAATAAATTACCGTACTCATCATACAATTATTTGTCCTGGGTGGGAATCGAACCAACGAGCTTCTGACTTAGCAGTCAGGTTCGCTATCCACTGGCCCAACAGGCCCGTCATATATGTATGTATGTCTTTTAACTTCAATCATGATTTTTTACCTTTTTTTACATTCTATATATGATATATACATTTTTTTATCTATTAATGTTACTGTTACATAAATATAGTTAAGAGTATTTATCATATGGATAGTATTAGAATGAAACTTTTGTATTCAAAATTTCAAAAGCTAGCTATGCCGTAGTGTGTGTCTATATTTTTAACGTGGAACCCTAATTTCTTTCCAAAATAACAGTAATTTAAATTATTCCTCACAACTTTAGCTTTCTGACACTGAAAGTCCCGTGGAAATCGGTCTGTTCGTTCCGAAGATTACAACGATTTAATATACATTTATTAATATATATTTATTTAATATACATTTAAAATAGGATTTAACTTAAGTACGTGTTTAGGTACCTATAGATTACCTGAATACGAAACTAATTCTTGCAAAACATTTTCTTGGCAATTAAGTTAATAATTAACTTTATTAGACTCCTATTTCAAAACATTATTTTAAAACAGCATTGTTTTTTCCTGATCTCATTGTTTTTCCTTTGAATTACATTTGCCTGTTTAATGTGTATAATTAACATTTATAAAAAAGATTTTTACGTAATTAATCAAGCAAAGACAGAAAAAGATTATATAAAATGGTATAGATGTAGTAGTCAACACAACAGTAAAAAAATAAAATAAATTTAAAAAATCGTGCTTACGACTCTTGTACGTACGACGTGTGTACTTTTAGTACAGAAACTCTTGTCCATTATCAGAAGCGACAGAGTGTAAGCTCCGCCATCTTCCCTTGTTCTCAAGTGTCATCAAGTGTGCAATTAAAGGTATCGAATAAAGTTGTCCTATGTCAATTTATCAATCAATGTTACAAATACCGATTATTTGCCCCATGTATTGTCGTGGACTTTTCGGCATGCGTTTCACTACCTCGGGAAAAGGATACCTGAACCAAGACTTAGTAAAACAATCGATTTAAAAACATACAGAAAAGAAGAAGTTCTTTGCCTAGACCAGTAATTAGTATTTGAAGCGTCATCATTGTTCTTGTGCTTAATCAAGAAGCTTACTAAAGACGTACATATTATAGAACCGTGGTCCTATTTTGTTAGAGGGTTATGGTTCTCGTTTCAAGACTGTCAATCATTCTGTCACGAAAGTTCAGAGAGACTAGATGCGTCCTATCAAGCGGTATATGTGCTTGTATGCCAAATTACTTGTATTCCTAAATATAAATACTTAAAAAGCATCTCCGACCTGTATTAATTTAAAAAATGTTTAATCTTTGAAGTCGCTTGTACATAAATAGGGTAGATACCTGTCAAGTGATTTTTTTTAAATAAAAACGTCAAGAAAGTAGGTTTGTGACATTTTGTATGCATATCTAAACCTGATGTCACTATTTACTGTTGTCATTACGTATAGCTTAACGTTATTTTGACGATTATAACACAATTTAAAAACGTTAAAGAGAAATTGAATGACAATTTTAAGTTTTTATTACTCGACTTAGCGAAATAATTTATTTTGAGCAGGAGCATCTATCCAATAATACGTTTGGGTACAGATGAATATACTTTATAATTATCATGTACTTAATATTTTAAACTTGTTAACTTGCTTTTATCCAGATCTAAAAACCTTGCCCGCATAAAAACATGCGTCCACTAAACTTACCATGTTGTTATTTTTTACTCTCACTTTTTATTCGGCAATTGGGCTAAGTAATTAAAAGTAAATATACTTTCTAGTATTAGAAAAATTACTTGTCATGAAAATTTGACCTTGACCTATAGACCTATTTTTCTTCCTAAGACCTAAGTAACCAACTGTTCTTTAAATTTAAAGGACACTTGGTTACTTAGGTCTGGCTCAGTACATTCTGAATAAATTAACTCTTAAAAAATGTATCTACACTCTAACTAAGATTTCAGTATTCCCAAATAATAAAATGAAAAAATCCTACATAAAAGTGATCACACTGTATATACAATATTTACTTACCTGTAACTGGCGAGTTTGGTTCATAATATGTGGATGAAGCTATCACTCTGTACGGTAAAGAGGACAAGGGTTGTGTTCTGTGTTGGCTATGATTTGGTTGATTAGCTCGATCTTTAACACATGTGTCAATTGGTGCCCCATCCGGGAAACTTTGAACACCCCAACACAAAAACAACACGAGTATCAAGTTTGTAAACATATTTATAAACAAATTGCCAGATTTGTTGCGAAGGTAACACTCAAAGATCTCGCGTTCGACTGTGCGTGAGTATATTGCGGCACTTACTTTTGTAACTTTGTATTGCGAGTTCGAAAGGATCTAGATCTGTTGGAAAAGTTGACAGGTCAATTAATGACAGCTCGTAAGCGGTTGAGGTGAGTCGAAGTAGGGTACTATTAAAAAGATTGCGTAGTATTGTATAAAAGTAATTGATTGGTAATAAATGAAAATATAATCTTTAATATAAATACTTTTATTATCACTAACAGCTTAAAGCTGTCAGGAAATTTTAACAGCAAAATATCAAGTGACTTATACGTATGATTATTACTCTATCAATTTCAATTAAAAATGAATATACTTTGTTAATCCATTGAGGTACCAACTCGCAATTACAGATAGATCCTAATGTAAGTATTAGTAGCAATGGATTCAGTCCTTTATAAATACAATTTTACCATCATCTTTTCGGTTGGAAACAATGTTTGGTTCTAAAGGCGCTCTAACTTCTGTAGTTTCCATGTACTGCATTATTTCATCTAGCATATTTTCGCAGTCTTCGTACTCGTCATCTCTCACTTCACTTGCCCCGGCCCGATTCTCAGGGCCGTTATCTTTCCTAATATCATCAATAGGCGCTTGCGCATTTCTATATTCAATACATTTGGAACATTTTGGATCAATTTTTATGTCTCGATGTAGCCGCGGGTGATGAGGGAATTTCTTCTCTAAATATCTTGTTTCGTAATCATTTAATGAATTATTGTAAACGCTACTGGACGGCGATGACACACATCGTATCCAATCTTGGCAATCTATTGAAATGCTGGAAGCGTTTGTAAATCCATAGTAATCCTCGACTTTGGAGTCTCGGTTAGGTATAAAACCGGAATCGTTGTCTGACCTGTCTAAAGAATCATAACTCTCATTGGTTACACCATTTTGTATAGTTTCATACACTGGTTCTAAGATTTCTGCTAATCGCTCGCTTGCTTGTATAGATATTATTTCAGCCACATGTAATTTTGGTCGTATCGTAGCGTATTGGTCCTTCGAGTCCTCGACCTGATTAGGCGGCAATCCTGTACTATATGTCATTCTTCCATCATTACTGGGTCCGATACTACTGCCCCGTGGATAGTTGGAATCTCGAATACGGGATATTACTGCGTCTTCCGTTTTTTTATATGTTGCTTTGACTAATAGATGAACCTAGAACATTAAGGCATTTATACAATTAAACTAAATTTTTCATTGACCTAATTATGATTATAATGAGGAAAATTACTTTTTGGATATATTTAAACTTTTTTTTAACTCTCAAAGTTTCAAAGTTTTTAACTCCTAACTACATAGAAGGAAATTTAGTTTGTCTTGTATACTCTCGTTGTATATCGTGTTAATAAAAGGAGGGAGGCCCCGCGCAGTTCGGCTGTTTGATTAATTACATTGCAGTTTTTGACTTTTAATTTGTTTTCGGTGAAATGTTCTGTTTATTCATTGCGATATCATTTTTAACCAAAAAAATTAGATAATTATAAAAAGATTAATTTTCCGGAAGAAAATTCCGATGATTTTCAACTCAGAATCATGGTCTGAATACACTATTTCGGTATTCGGTACGATGTCCCTTACACCTTGTATATATATAACACACGGCTCCAACAATTTTCATGAGATTAAGTATCCAGGGGGTTTCAAGGCGATTAATCGATCTAGCTCGGTTTCATTTTTAGAAAATTTACCAAAAAAGAAACCGAGCAAAACTTGGTCATCAGAGTACCTATCATAATAGTTACTTATCATGTTGAACAGAAAAACAGTTGTTCCAGGTGAGGTACGGGGACGGTGCATTACATGGATATTCACCTATTACATCCGCCCATAATCAATCAAAGGAAGAAACAGCGCTACTTTAGTTCGGATAGTCTTATTGTGTGGCTTAGATGTTAATAATTTAATTTAGTTAAGGTTAGAGAGACCTAATCCTCCTTTCTGAGAAGAGGCATATAACCAGCAGTGGACTAAGGCTGTTGATGATAGAGAGACACTTTACAAAGTTACTCACCTCTTTGTTGATATAGCAAAACAACATTGCTACTATGAAACCCTGCAGTCCTTCAACGGTGTATGCTACATAGTAGTAAATTTGCTCTCCTTTGCAATTTGTTGTGTTTGGTCGGATTGCAGTCAGCAAAAACTGTGTTCCGAAGAGAGGCATCAGGAATAGTGTCGCTTTTGCTGTGCTCCTAGAAATGTGATAGATATGTTAAAAAACACATCAACATATAAACATATACTAAGGTAACTAGACTGCTGATAAACATACTTATATATTTCAAAATACATATATATTTTAGATAAAAATCAATTTAATTCAATTCTTTATTCATTAAATTTAAGCATAATTATAATATAATCATAATTAATTTATTCATAATTGCAAAACGCAGAACAATAAAAAGAAATAATAATAATAAATATATATATATATATATATACCCAAATACAGAACAAATCAAAGTGCTCATTACACAATTATATTTTGTTCTAGGTAGGAATCGAACCTAGGACCTCTGGCTTTGGTAAATTAACATTTACTATAAAAACCTTGACAGGATGGTACTAGAGTTTTCCCCTCTTTTTTTTCCGTGCGGAAATCCCCTCGGATACCACCTGTCGGTGGCATGTCGGACTCGAACCGACTAAAACCGCACGCCGTCTCGGGTACTAATAGCCGGGGAACCAGGTATACCCTAGAAAAGAAAGTCCCTGGTGCACTAGAGTTTTCCCCTGAACATGGTGAGGTTACAACAGCCTGAGTGTCCATTGTAAACCTTATTACTGAGCACAGTTTAATTCAGTTTTAAATCATTTAAACGTTGCATTATTGATCAGGCATTAGGTTTCCATACACTATTATCGCTATTCTAAAGCACCTGCATACTTATTGAGTAAAACTGAGTAATCTGAGACTAAGAAGGATTTAATTCTTGAACGATTCAACTATTGGCGACATTAAGCTTATGAAGTGGCAAAGTCCACTTAGGTCAGTAGGGTGATTCTTTGAAACCGAGGGTAAATGACTAATTCGTCTGGCTTAAATTTATTTTTAGTATTAGATACAAGTTTAAATATTAGTTTGTCTAGGTCATTAAATATATTTAATTTATTTAAAAGGCACTGCTTTGCTCCCAGTAATTTATGATTTAGAGTGTGCAGATGAATTAATCAGCCAGATGAATGATGACTATGGCAGAAGAATGAGATTTTGCACACTAATTAACTAAGATAAGGAATAAATGAGTTTTTTTTATATTATTTGAATCAATTTTATTGTAAAAAATTAAAATATAATTACTATATTGTGTTGATCAGTCAAGTGAATCTTAATTATTCTGATATCCACTACGCATACATTATACTACTTCTAATTTGTAACTGTTTCTTTGGGTTGAATTATAATGATTAAACTTAATAAATCACACTTTATTACAAAACTTATTATCTTTTAATCTCTTATATCTTAATTGCAATGACATGCAATGGCAAAAATAACAATAATTCTTCACTTATTCCGATTTCACCAACGTCGAATAAATTTATCCGAAGAATAAATTCGGCGTTCTGAAAGTTTTAGTTGCAAAGAAATATCAAATATGCACTCGGATAAGACTTATTTTACATTGGTGAAATCAGCCATCATCATCATCATCATCATCAACAGCCTTTAATAGTCCACTGCTGGACATAGGCCTCCCCGTAGAAAGGAGGTTTTGGCCTACTACTACTACTTCTCTCTGCAGTGTTGTTGTCCTGCGTAGTTTTCTCCCTTAGTCGCCTCTTACGACACCCACGGAATGAATAGGGGTGGAAATCAGCCATTAGAAATAAATCATAAGAACAAAAACATAATGTATCAACGAAAAAGAAGCAATTTGATAACACAAACAAACAACTAAAACAGTCAAATCAGTGTGGTACAACGTGCAGTACATGCGATATGCATCACCCACCCTCCTGCTTCTAAACATGCAGAAAAAGCAAACAAGCAATACACACCACCACGACACGACACCACAAAAATCTTCTGTCAGCACTGTCAATGTACGTATCATTCGTATTGCTTGCTTGCTTATCCTGCATGTTTAGAATCGGGAGAGTGGGCGGTGTATAACGCATGCTGCACGTTGTACCACACTGATTTGACTGTTTTAGCGGATGATAGCGAATCATCCGCTAAAACAGTCAAATATCTCAAGTTCCTTGATCACAGACTTCAGCAAAGTAACGCCTGCTTCTAGCCAAATCAAGATATAATAAAATGAGAATCTATCCATACTATCAGCCTTAATTTAATAATAGGAACTTCAGTCAAGAGATCGCTGAGCGGTAAGTACTTAGGTCCTTATCTATTTTAAAAAATGTCATCATCATCAGAGTCCATTAGGTATGGAGCAAGATTTTCTAAATCGATACTAAATTTTTTCACTACTGTCTGTTGGAAATGTTATTTCTAAAATACTGTCTAAGTCAAGACATTCTGCCGATTCCAAATTTTGTTCTGCTTTATTCTTCCTGAGTCTTTTTTCTTCATTTGCTTCTGATATGGTAAATTGTTTTCCATCACTATTATTTAGTCCTAAAGATTTAAGAAAGTTTGGTTAATTGGGTATTTCGAAAATTTAAAATTCTTCATCTTCATTCTCTTGATTTGTGTTACTGCTTTGCTCTGTTATTGTCTTTTTTTGTTCGATTGGTTTGTTATTCTCTCGTAATAAGTTTTTCTTTGGTGTTTTTCGCACTTCATTTTCATTTTCTTGAACTATCTTGCCCATTAGCTTTTGTTTTTGTCTTGGCAAAATTCGGTTAATCTTTCGTTTTGATTCTTTTTCAATTCTGGTCCTCTCTTTCTCTGACGATCTTATCCCTTTTCTTTTATATATTGGCGTGTTACTTGTTTGATTATTCTTTTGACTTCCATCTTCAATCACATTACGTCTTGCTGTTCAAAAGGATTCACCAATCTCTCTCAGTTCCCTTGTTGAGTCATCTAGAGGTGTGACTAAAAAGTCTTTCTGACATCCGTCTACAAAATTATAAAAGCCAAGATGTTTCTTGTAACGCAGACGTCTTACTAAGCTTGTTGAGTTGCTCTGTTGAGACATACTGCGTGAAATCCTATATGGTCCTGGTACAGGTGAATCCGGTTCTTTGTTTGAAATTGAGTTTTCTAAAGGTGACGCATCTCGAATGTTGTCTTGTGAAGCTACCACCATTTCAGTGTCTGACAAGATGCTGTGACTTTGAGGTGGTGTATATTGTGTAAACAGCTGCTCCGTTCTTTTTTCTTGCTTTTTTCTTAGGTAATATGACTTGTAATTTTTTCTCCATCTTTTTCTCTGTAACTTTTGATGTCTTGGAGTCATTTCCTTAATCGATAATTGTTTCTTTTCTTCTTTTCTTCGTATATAGTTTTGTTTATTCTTTTCTTGTTTTTCTTTCCATAAATCATCATTATTTTTTATTCTTTCGTATCTTTTTCTCTCTGCAAGCCTCTTTTTTTTAAGTCTTTCTTCTCTTGTCTGCGTCTTTGGTTTTGCCATTTCAAAATAGTGTTCTGAAAAGAAAAACTAGTATACAGGAACTATAGTCTGTTTATGTTAAGAAAATTGAGACTAAACTGATCATTGTCAGTAGAGTAAGCGATGCCCTCAAGAAGCCTTCAACTAATTATGTTGCGAGAAATCAAAAAACATTTTGATTTCACGCAACTTAGTTGGTCAGTGATAGAAATCTAATTCATCTGCCTCTTCCAAATTCATCTGGTCTTATGAGCCAGATAAATCCAGACCAATGAGGGCCAGATTAATGAAGAATTTGAAGATAATCGAATCCTGTCCAGTTATTTATCAACCTTTAAAATTATAGGAGTAATTAACAGTAATATACAACCTAATAAGGGTTTATGATTCTTACAAAACATTAAAAGACACTTCAATATTATTCATAAAAAATGCCAGATTAATTATGCTACTTACCTTACAAACGCCAGATTACAGGTTGATATCGTATTTTTTCGTCAAAATACGCGCCGTGAACGAGCGCTCCGTATGATAGACTGGCATTCACTGGCGCGAAAGATCGCTAGTCGGTTTATTCAATGGAAAAATTTAGAGTTACGTTGAATTCCCTTGTAGACGTATTGGGCCAGATGAATGATTACTTTAGTCGCGGATAATTTTTAAAGTACTATCACTTCAAGATTATTTAGTTATTATGTTTTTTAATTTGGAAATATTAATAAATATATAATGGAATATCGTTACAACTTACTTATTTTATTATATTGCGACAATTTATTCCAAAAAATAGTATAAATCAACACCAAAGCGTCATTTGGACGCGCCAGATTAATTAGTTTTAACAGTTTTCTGAAGGCTTAAGTTTTTTATTTATTTTGAACTGCGATTAGCTATATCATGCCTCGATAGATATTTACTTTTAACATAAAACCTAAAATGTATGTCGAAAACGAAGATTATTTTAATGAGTTCTTCAGCGAAAATCATGTCAAAACTGTGTTTCGAAGAATCACCCAGTAGATGTATGCAACCGTAATACTCCTAATGGTCCTGGTGAACATTAATGGTTTAATTTTTTGTACTTACAGTTGATTAACGTTTTCCGAGTTCCTAATCTTTGTCAGCAAAACTCTCAGAACATCGATAAACAAAATCGTGTTAACAATAAGAATAACAATTCTGGGTGTGTCCAATATCCATTGGATGTGAGGAACGGTGAAAACCACCCAGCAGGAGTGGTCGTTATGTAGTGACATGACAATGGCCCAAGCTACAGCAGGAACCAGGGCTATCGCTGTTGGTACAATACAGTTTTGTAATTAGGACAGAAATTCAAATTTACAATTCTATAAAACCACACTCTTCGTAAGGTTTTTGCAAAATAGTTATTAAAACAGAATAATTAATTAGAAAATAAAGTAATAGAAAACCTCTGTAAATGTACTCATAATTTAGTGTATGGTAGATACGAAAACTGTAAAAGTTTTTAAATGATGTTGTCTAACAAATTATACTCGTATGACAACTGAATAAGTATAATCACCTAGTAAAAAGTGATATAAACATGCACTTATTTAAGAATAAGTGCAATGTATGTAAATAGCACTTTTTGAAGACACAACAGTGTTTTCTTTAGTACTGTCTCACGCACCATACGTTCATATTGTATTGTCACACACGGCCGTCCGATTCCAAACTAAGCGGTTGTGTTACGGTTACCAAATGGATAAACACAATTAAATATTTCTATAATATGTAGGTGTGTAACATATTATAGATACATTACATCCAGGTCTAAAAAATGATGATGCTCATGAACAAATGTTTTTTTGTGACCTTGCTCATGGTGCAAAAGGCAGGTAACAAAAAATCTAGATAATTCTATTGTAGCAGAAGTAAAACAATCGGTACATTTTTTGTCATAGATACAGGTATGTCTTCATTCCAGCCTGATTAAACAACAAAGAAAATAAATAGTAGATAAGAATATTGAAAACATACCGAATCCGATTGCATACAGCAGTCTTATCTTTAGCTTTCTCCTAAATACAGTTACGATTGTCCGATGAAGGTAGATGCCTTCCACAAGCATGCAAACAAACACAGCATTTCCAAAAAAACCTTTCAGCGAAGGCGAGCACACGGCAGGCGATGCTATGAATGGACATCGCTGTATCACCCGCGTTTGTTATCTCATCAATATACACCTAGAAAATGATTTAAACTACTACACTTTCTTTTACTTTACTTTACTCTTTTTTTTGTATTTTCTTCACCTATTACTCATACAGTAATAGGTGAAGAAAATACTTTGCCCCGCTATGTAAATAAATGTAGCACACGGAAGCATGATATTTGAAATACTTAACCTTTATATGTAGAAGAAGTTTAAAAAGCAAAAACTTTAAAAAAATCTACAGAGTTTTATGTAAAAACGGCTAAATAAAGCTTTAAGCTTCCAGTTTATATTTGGATCTATAATGGTGAAAAGGCTATACAATGACAGTTCAAGTTATAGTGGTTCAGTCTTCAGTTGATCTCTGATATGTTATAAATAAACACATCAAACAATGAAATAATTACGGAATGAGAACTCCAATTAAAGTTGCTGAATAGAATAGCTACTTAATTGTTTGATTTGCATTTTTGAATGTCGAAAATGTTCAGAAACTTCAAAGGCACGAACTAAACTGTCGTCAACTGTTTAAGTAACCTTTTCTCAGAACTACGAAGGCTGCTCTTTATGTATACGGAATAACAAAGTGAAACAAACATATAGCATTTATTACAGTTTAATTGCTTTTCAAAATATTCGCCGTGCTGATCGATGCACTTTGAACCAAATTTCCATTCTGATTGTGATATCTCCAAAACGTGCATTAAGAACGCATCAACAGCCTCTTCACGGCTCAAAAAACGTTGACCACGTAATTTATTCTTCACGGTTGGGAATAAATAGATGTCGTCGGAGGCCAAGTCAGAGTTGTACACCGGATGACCCGTTTATTCGATCTTTTGATCTTGCAAATACTGAGTTGTTTCGGCTGATGTGTGGCAGCTAGCATTGTCATGATGGAGAAGGATTCTGCGTTGTCGGTTTTTCTTTCTTATTTGTTCAAAGAATTCTTGCAAAAAAAATGGTCATGTACCATTTAGAATTAACCGCTTTACGATCCTCTAGTGGCACTTAAGCCACATGTTCATTTATACCAAAAAAACAAGCAACCATTTGCTTCAAAGTACTTTTTGAACAAATGACTTTTGTTGGGTTGGATCATACGCATATATCCAAGATTCATCACCTGTGTAGATATTATAGACAACTTTTGACGCACTCTGATTGTACTTTTGTAACATTTTTTTCACCAATCGACACGAGCCCGTTTTTGATCTATTCTCAAGTTCTACGGAATCCAACGTAAACAATTTTTTTTAACAGCTAAATGTTCGTATAATATTTTGTATGTACTCGTCATACTTATCCCCAGAAATGACTCTATCTCGCGATATATAACATGACGATCTTGCATTATTAGTTCCCGCACAGCATCAATATTTTTAGGTACAACAACCGATTTAGGGCAACCTTCTTTAAATTCGTCAGTGAGCACCGACCGCCCTCGATTAAACTCACTAAACCAGTGATACACAGTTGTTTTTGATGGTGCTTCGTTCCCAAAAGTCGAAGTGAGTTGATCGATGCACTGTTTTTTAGTTAACTCTCGCTGAAAATCGTAATAAATAATGGCACGAAAAATTCACGGGTTAAATCCATAGTGATAAAAACACGCAATTTTCAAAATGGCGCCACAAAGGATAAACAAATGACAGCTACATGAAACACATTGTATTCTTCAGCCAAAGAGTTCCATTTTTAAATGTTATAATTACTTTTTAACATTGTTCAGTAACTGACCAGTTCCGGATACATAAATATCAGCCCTCGTATTCGCTAAAGGTTTACCTACTACTGCACTACGCTATAATTATGCCATTGTATTACATAAATACTGTCTATGGAATTGTATCCTTAGTTATTATTTTCCTTACCTCACTTCTGCTGACTATTACGAAAATATTCCTTAGAATAATGGCTATAAGTAAATTCCTGTGTAAAATCACTCTCGTAATGCGTAATCTTTTGTAGAAGAAAAATATGAAGACTGCAGGTACACATGATGCGATGGAGAAAGACAGCATTGCGATATGAAATCTGAATCTACGGAGTAGTCTTGGAGTTATACTGCAGGTGGTATAGTCTGTGTGGAGCTCCCATGTTGCATTCTTATGGCACTGTTTGCTGCTAAAGTCTGGAAACGTATATAAAAATATTTTTGACCATTTCATCATGGTTTACACGTGGTTAGTTTAATAATAAATATTGTGAACCTACAGTTATTGCCTTGTTAGTAAATTTTTAATATGGTTTATACTTATTTAATAAGATATATCATACTAGCTGTCTTTTGTTCTTCTGTTCTGCACAGATTAAGCTGTGTTTGAGCTTAATCGGTGCAGAACTCTTTCAGTGTTTGAATTGTACACAAACCAACTTAACATTTATATACATATAAACGGTAAATTGCATTTCCGTAATCAACCAATGCCCAAGTAATGCAGAGAGGGCTCCGTTCTTGACTCTCATTACGTTTAACAAAAAGAATAGTTACTTTGACCGTTACAACCGTGAAGGTTAATTAAACAATTTATAAATCTGCTTTGAAAAATGTATTAACTTAACTAACATAAATAACACAACACGAATTGTTGTTTAAATATGAATACTTCTTTTTCTGTCTGTCGGTTTTTTACTTCTTTAAGAAAAGGAAATACATTTGCATTACAATAGTTAAATCAAAATTTTGGATGATTTTCTTTTACATTTTTATCTTTAAAACTGCATTACGCAATTATCTTTTAAAGTATCACTGTTTTCAATACGTCCACATTATGATCAATTTATTGTGATTCCTTAATTTTCTACCCGTAGGCATCATATCGTACCAAAATCTACGCGTAAATCTATTTTTTTTTCTTTTTTAAAAGACAACGCCCGCATTAGGTATATAGTCCTTTGTCGCGGGGGACTTTACAAACATACATGAAACGGACACGAAGAACACCCAGACTCAGAACAACAATTTGTGGATCACACAAAGTGTCGTCCCATATGGGGTTTGAACCCACAACACTCTGCGTTGTAGGAAGCGGCGTGGCGACCACTTAAACCACTACGCCATCCGTGCAGTTAAATCTATAAAAGAAGAAACTGACAGACTAATTCACGGACTGATCACACAGCTGAAGCCGCTATGTCTAGAAGCACAAATGTTCCTTAGATGACGTAGAAAAGCACTAAGAAAAGATTTTTAAAAATTCCACCCCTGAGGGGGTAAAATGGGGGTTGGAGACTTATTTGAAACTTCGACATTTCTGGTAGTAGCGTTTTCAAACTCACAGTAAACACTTTTTATTAAAACGTTGTCACAAAATTTTTAAAGCTACTATCAAAAAGGGGTGCATGTTTGTATGAAGAATACCTACAATCTTTAATCATTGTATCGTCTACGATGTCTAATTTCAACCGCCACGTTTCGTAAACGTGCAAGAGCTACTAAGACAAGACTATTTGACAAAACAGAGAATGTTGCTTTTGTGTGTGTTGATCTATGACTTTTAAGTCTACATAAAAGTCGATTTCAAACAATTTTATGAAATAAAGAGAGTTTGCGTTTGAGTTAAGAAATGAAATTGTTTTTCTAAATCGGTTCATAACTGATGGAGTTCTGAGATAACAAAATAATAGATTCTATATTTTGGGTTAATATGTATAGTCAAAGCATTTTGCAATGAAATAAAGGAATGCATGAAGTGACAACGGAGAATGGAAGAACAAAAGTTACTTCACTAACCTCAAATAAATTTAAGAAACGTTTAACAAGATAATGATGATGATGGTAGTCAAAGCAATTCTAGTAACTACAATAATATTATAATAAATAATATCATACGGTGGCATGTTGGAGGAACATTGGAATGTGCAAATTCTGAACAGACTTGTGTAGCTAAAACTCCAGCATCAACAGCGTGCCAACACGTCCAGCCGTCGAATGTGACCTCACATCGTTTATCTAAAACAATAACATACAATATATGCCTAATAATATATACTAGATATAATAGCTTGAGACACCTCACACACGGTCCCAACTAGGCAGTTCCAGTAAGTATCACGGCTCAGTCCGCTGATAAAAAAATTAAACCCATACAGAGTACAGTTTTTAGACTTATTTAGTCCTAACAAAAAAATATAGTTTTCGCCATGTTGTCAGTTTGTCTGTACGTCCGTCCGTGGTTCGGCTTAGAGAGTATTATTACTAGAAAGCTATTAATATTATCATCATCATCGTCGACATCAACAGCCCCTCACAGTCCACTGCTGGTTGCCTCTCCTTAGAAAGTAGGTATTAGCCTATTATATCGCGCTGGCCAGACGGGTTGATATTGGGTTTGTGTCAAGTTTTCCTTCTCTTTACAGTGTAGCTGTTCTCCTGTGTAGTTTGCTCCCTTAGTCGGCTCTTACGACACCCACTTGATGAATAGGGTTGGTAACACTCCGTATTCTTAATCCATCACCACACGGAATTAATATCTTGATAAAATAAAATCTTGGAAAGAATTTTATGTAGGGTTTCTCCATTTTACGCAACTCTCTTAGCCCCACCAACTGTGTGTTGAACATTCAAAATGCGGCAACGCACAGAGCCTCTTGAGTCTCTTGAGGTGTACATGGGCGGCGGTAATCATTCGCCACCTGGTGACCCGTCTGTTCGTTTCTCATCTATATCAAAGAAAAATATATTCGAAATTTTAAACGTTTATTAACATTTAAGTGAAATAATTTACCTGTAACGTTGTGTTCCTCACGCATATAATGACTACAGCAGTCACTGGCCGCGTAAAAGCATCTCTCCCATCGTCCATGTGCGGCTGGTATTAGCGCTTCACGTACCGCTGTTGCGACCTCTTCCAGACCAGGATCAAAGGGGTAGCAGCCACAAGTGCCATCTGCCTTCGGCTAAAAATAATACATCACATACTCGTACACATCTAACACACGGCCGTCTGATCCCAAACTAGACAGAGCCGCTACTATGGTATCTAACCAGACTGCTGATAAACATACCTATATATTGACTAATCGTGGGAATCGAACCTACTAAAACTACTAAACACTGAACAGGTCCACCAAAAAATTAATTTAAAAACTAACAATGATTATCAGGAAGATTAAAATCACTTAAGACGTTACGTCGCATCGTCGAATTGAATGAGACATTACTTGATAAATCTTTTTAATCTGTATATAATATAGAGGTCACATAGGTCTGCCAGGAAATGCAGGCACAGCTTGTACCTACATAATATAAAATTATTTACATGATTTTTAGAACCCAACTATAATACACTATCAGAATAATAACGTGAGATATCAGATAACATCGCGCAAATCGCGGCAGGACGTTACGCTCCCTGAATAAAAGGCCCCTGTCGAGTCCGAAGCTAGTTAGGAATCCCCGAAAGCAAAGCACTTTATCTTTGATAAATGTAATCCACTAGTTCTTGATAAATACGTACAAATTAAAAAATAATCACAGTCAATATCGTTAAATCCATTTCCCTGGTATTGCATTGCATTCTACCTCAAGAAATGCGCCAGATATATCAGACTTTTGGAGCGGTTTCGCACTACGTCCGATCCGAATCCGATCTCGTGAAAATACGGATCTACAAATTTCGGGCTGAATTCGGATATTTCTTTTCGCACTACCTTCGATTTTTGATCCGTGATTACGGACTTGACTGACAGAAAACTGACTGCGATCTCTGATTCTAATCCAAACAATTTAGGAGTCACCTTTTAGCATACCATATTTTACGCAAAGCGTAAACGTCGTTGGTCATGAGTTTTCACGATCGGTGTCAACTTCTGGCAATGTAATTGTACGTACGAACGACACAGAAGAAGTTAAGAATTCTGGGTACGTTCATACAAATAATGGTAGGACTACTTTGTTAATTATCTTCGCCGGAATGGAGATTCACGAATAACGGAAAGAAATTCGATGACAGAAGTCGGATCTAGTGCAAAAACTACCATAAAAATAGTTCTACGCCTACTTCGGGTCATATTTTCATGTGTTCGAGTAGGATTCTGATCGGACGTAGTGCGAAACTGCTCTTAATGAGACCAAGTACTTATTACTATTCGAGAAGATAAACTTGAAAGTACATCCTTGCTAATTATATTCAGTAGTTCACTATTAATTATACACTTGTCTATCAAGTAGGTATGTGCATAACAATGATTTATTTAATCCATTATATAATTTATAATTCGAAATTGTTTACTTTTTCAAAATATGTGTATATTTTTCAAGATAATGTTCATCGGTAATTATATTAATTAGGCATTCATTACACGAAATTTAGCAGATGACCTTACCGGTCAATTAACCTTTACGGCTAAAGAGCACTGAATATAACTTAATAATTCGATTATACTTAAGTGAAACTAAGAAATACACTTTAGTGGTGAAGATATAAATAATTAAAATGTAAAAAAATGACACTTTGCACTCCTTCTAGTATTTCATCACCGAACCATAATTACCATTCTAAATCTATTGGAGTTTTTAAAACCCTATGAACATAATCCCGAGGTTGCTCATCACTAAAGAGTTCCGTTTTCCCCCTTGGGATTCCATCATCTGATCAGCTTCATGATGCAAGCTATACCTACTATTTTCAGCCAAACTAAATATTTAATACATTCAAAGTTCCATTTCGATAGGCACTAAAATTAGAAATATTCTAAAAACGACTACGAGATATTTGCAAATAATTGTTTAGTTTAGTTACTAGTTAACCCAATAAAAACATGTGTAAAAACAAAAGGGTGTGTTAAAAAAAATACAGAAAAAAAAACAATAGGTCTTGTTCTAGCACATATCAGTTTGAGAAGGTTACTTACGATCTCCAAGCACGGTGCGATCCAGTGTCCATACAAGCAACCAGCGTTCAAATTGATAGTGTTGGTTCCAGCCACGTAGAGGAAATCAGGCGTGAAGAGCAAACACCCTCGTCCAGCCACCCAACGGAACACTTGTTCGTGGTACTGAATATTGCGGTAGTCACATGACTTTTTCACATCAAGTGGCACTGTATCTGGAGGTTCCTATAGTTGAGGAATGTAATGAAAAAATCTGAGAAGTGAGACATAACTCTTACCCTAAGGGTTCCGTATACATTATGGATCATTATAATAATAATAATGACTTCACACATCTCACACACGGCCGTCTGATTCTAAACTAGGCAGAGCCTGTGCTATGGTAACCAGACTGCTGATAAACATACTTATATATTTATAAATACATACATATCCTTGAAAAATTACACCCAGACACAGAACAAACGATCATCTATCCACAATTATTTGTCCTAGGTGGGAATCGAATCCACGACCTCCGGCTTAGCAGTCAGGGTCACTAACCAATTTACCAACAGGCCCGTCAATCATTTATCTTTAGAACTGGGTCTATTAAATTTACATAATGAAATTCATTGCATTGTATTCATTACATTTTTCTATAGTGCAATGTTCGGTGTTTACCTTTACTTTTTTCTATTATAATTGCTCTAATGTTAAGTTAAGTGGTATTGTGCGGCCAAGAGCATTGAAACACTTTTTTTTGGTTGTATTCTTTTCTGTTTCTTTTTATGCAGATATAACAGTTTTAAAAGTCGTTGAACTTGGCTGTAACTGTTTATGTCATTTCAAGTTTCTGAATTTTAAATGTAAAAATAAATAATAAATCATAAATAAGTTGTGGGCCGAAAATTTATTCTTTAAAATAAAAAAAGTGCTATTATTAGTGCACTGTAATAACCTTAAGTTTAAAATAAGGGACAATCACACAAACACGAGCTTAGGATCTGAGTGAAATTGTTATATCAAAATAGAATTTAAAGTAACGGTGGCAGTGGTATATTTTTTGCATTTAGTTACAAAATACCTATTTACACTGTTATTTCACATCATCATCATCACATCAACAGCCTTCAATAGTCCACTGCTGGACATATGCCTCTCCTTAGAAAGGAGGTTTTGGCCTACTATACCACGCTGGCCAGACGGGTTGGTATAGGGTTTACCGGTGGCATCGGCCAAAGTATTGGCCGACGCCGGCAGGCTGCTCATCGGTTTCGTGAGCGCCAGGATCACAGTCCTGGCGGCGAGACCGATGAGGTGTTTTAAATGCCTGGCCACGGGACACACGCGCGTCAAGTGCGACAGTTGTTTTGACTGCGGCGGACTGTGTTTCCGCTGCGGTCAACCGGGGCATAAGGCGGCAGAATGCTCTGCCGCCCCTCACTGCCCAGCGTGTGCGGCGGGCAATAAGCCCGCCAATCACCAGATGGGGCAGAGAGGCTGCAAGCCTCCCCGCAGTTCTCGGCAGACGTCGGGGGCTAGCCAGTCGACCCAGGCTGCCTCCGACGTAGTACGTGCGTCGTCGTCGTCGCCCATGGAGGAGGTTGTAGAGACGATCCAGTAATGGATCAAGTCTCCAACCTCCTGGTCCAGACGAACCTGAACCACTGTGCCGCGGCGCAGGATCTCTTCCTGCAAACCATGGCACAGTGGTCGATAGGTGTTGCCGTAGTCGCGGAGCCCTATTCTGTCCCTCCCCGTCCAAACTGGATGGGTGACTGGGACGGCTCCGTGGCAGTCGTCGGTTCCACGACGGCTCATTCCCCGCCCTTGTCGCTAAGAGACAAGGGCACTGGATATGTTGCCGTCGAGTGGGGGGGGGATCACCATATATGGTGTCTATTTCTCCCCCAACCGGAGTTTGAACGACTTCGAGGTTTTCCTAATCAGCTTGGAGACCTCGATACGGCGACTAGCGTCTGGGCACGTCCTTGTGCTGGGGGACTTCAACGCAAAGTCCATTGCGTGGGGTTCCCCCAGGACGGACGCCAGGGGCGAGGCCGTAGAGGAGTGGGCGGCCTCGGTGGGCCTCTGTCTTCTAAACAGAGGCTCCACCAACACGTGCGTGCGACAGCAGGGGGGGTCGATAGTGGACCTCTCGTTCGCTACCCCTGCCCTCGCCGCACGAGTAAGGAACTGGCGTGTCCTGGAAGAGGTTGAGACGCTCTCGGATCACCTGTATATCCGATTTGAGCTCTCCCGGACCCAGGACTCCAGTAGGGGTCACGTGGCGCGGCGTTTATCCCGCTTTCCGCGGTGGGCTGTTGCCAGGCTGAACCGGGACCTACTAGAGGAGGCAGCCATAATTCACTCGTGGCTGTCTCCTCAGGCTCCGACCGAGGAGGTCGACGTAGGGGCTGGCCGCTTTCGCGATGCGATTACGCATGTATGCGATGCGGCCATGCCCCGCGTTCGAGGTCGTCGGCGTCCAAGGAAGGAGGTCTACTGGTGGTCCCAGGAGCTGGCGGACCTCCGTGCGGCCTGTACACGTGCCCGGAGGTCCTACACGCGCAGTCGGCGGCGTCACCGTGGAGACGGTGAGGAGGACCGGCTTCATGAGGAGTACCGACGGGCGCGGAAAACTCTGAAGCTGGCCATTAGCCGCGCCAAAGAAGAAAAAAGACAGGAGATGCTGGAGGGTCTTAATCGTGACCCCTGGGGTCGCCCTTACCGCGCGGTGCGACAAAAGCTCCGCGCGTCGGGCCCCCCCCTTACGGAGACTCTCCAGCCCAGCTTCCTGCGAGAAGTGGTTGAGGGCCTTTTCCCGCAACGAGCGGAACACACTCCCCCGGCGATGGCCTCCTTGGCCGGAGACGACGGGGAGCACGGGGAGGAAAATGTTCCGCCCGTCCGGGATTCGGAGGTAGGGGCGGCTGTTCTACGGATCCGTTCCAAGAACACCGCCCCTGGGCCAGACGGGGTACCGGCCCGAGTGCTGGCCCTGGCCCTCAACCACTTGGCAGACCGCCTCGGGGAGGTGTTCGACGCTAGCTTGGCGTCGGGACGCTTCCCTGAGTGCTGGAAGAGCGGGAAGCTGGTCCTATTGAGGAAGCCGGGACGGCCTGCCGATTCGGTCGCGGCCTATAGGCCCATCGTGCTGCTGGACGAGGCGGGCAAATTGTTTGAGAGGGTTCTTTCTGCCCGCATCGTCCGGCACCTTTGCGAGGTGGGCCCCGATCTGTCGGACGCCCAATTTGGTTTTCGGGCGGGGCGTTCGACAGTCGACGCCGTGTTGCGCCTGAGGGCCGTGACCGAAGAGGCTGTGAGCTGTGGCGGCGTGCTGTTGGCGGTGTCATTGGACATCGCCAACGCATTCAATAGTCTGCCATTCAGCTGCATCAGGGAAGCACTCCACTATCATGGGGTGCCAAAGTACCTGAGGCGGCTGGTGGCAGACTATTTAGAGGAGCGTACCGTCGTGTACGAGGACCGAGAAGGTAATCTGAGGTGTCGGCCCATGTCGTGCGGTGTTCCACAGGGGTCTGTTCTTGGACCCCTCTTGTGGAACATAGGGTACGACTGGGCCCTTCGCGCCGATTTCCCCCCCGGGCTGGGTGTAATCTGTTACGCAGACGATACCCTCGTGACAGCCCGGGGGGCAAACTTCCAAGAGGCGGCGCGCCTGGCCACAGGGGGAGTCTCCCTGGTGGTCGGGCGCATTGAGGCGCTGGGCTTACGGGTGGCCCTAGATAAGACGGAGGCCCTGTTATTCCATGGGCCCCGTCGTGGTCCACCCCCTGGCGCCTCCATCGTGGTCAACTCGGTCCTCGTACCGGTTCGGGCCCAGATGAAATATCTGGGCCTGATCCTCGACGGGAGGTGGCTCTTCGACGAGCACTTCCGACAGCTTGCTCCAAAGCTGGTCGGCGCTGCGTCTGCCCTAGGGCGACTCTTGCCCAATATGGGTGGACCCAGCGTCGCGACAAGACGGCTGTACACGGGGGTTGTCCGGTCAATGGCACTGTACGGTGCACCGGTGTGGGCGGCGGCTCTGACCGCCCAGAATAGGGTACGCCTCTGGCGCCCTCAGAGGGTAATGGCGGTCAGAGCCATACGCGGTTACCGCACCGTTTCGACGGAGGTGGCATGCGCATTGGCCGGAACTCCCCCGTGGGATTTGGAGGCGGAAGTGCTCGCCGAAGTTTATCGGCGAGTGGCTGACTTCCGGGCGGAGAGCGGATTTCGCCCTCCGCCCGAGGATGTGCGCGAGTGGCGCGAAGCCGCTCGCCGAGCCACGATGGCTCGTTGGTCGTTCCGGCTGGAGACTCCACGCGCTGGCTTTGCCGCCGTGGAGGCTCTCCAGCCGGTCATCGCCGAGTGGGCAGGGCGGCAGCACGGGACCCTTTCCTTCCGACTGACGCAGGTGCTTTCCGGGCACGGTTGCTTCGGAAAGTACCTGCACACGGTCGCTAGGAGGGAACTGAGTCCCGCCTGCCACCACTGCGACTGCAGTGAGGACTCGGCCCAGCACACGCTGGCGGTCTGCCCCGCATGGGCGGCGCAGCGCCGGGCCCTCACTGCAGTCATCGGAGTGGATCTCTCGCTACCGGCCGTAGTACGCTCCATGGCCGGTAGCGACAGTTGTTTTACCGCGGTCGCAACCTTCTGCGAGGTAGTAATCTCGCGGAAGGAGGCGGCGGAGAGGGCCCGGGAGGACGACCTCCACTCGGACCCGATCCGCCGCCGGCGAACCGGGCGGCGGAGGCCCGCCTACCACAGCCTCATGCCGCCCTGAGTGTGGCCGCGGATGGACGGGGTGGGTTTCCCCTCCACCCGCATTAGTTGGCCAGCCGCGAGGGGGCGGCGTCCGCGTGTGCCGGACGTCGCCTAAAGAGAGGAACATCCACATTGAGACGGAGCCCGCACCAGGAGCGGGCTGGCGCTAGGAGGGGTCCGGATGTCTTAACAACAGCTGTTCCCGGATCCCTCCTGTTACAGGCGCAGAGTGGCACACCGTGTGGTTTTAGTCGGTCCGAGTCCGACACACCACCCCGCCGCAAACCCCGGAGGGGTGACGGTCCGAGGGGATTTCCACACGTTAAAAAAAAAAAAAAAAAAAAAAAAAGGGTTTGTGTCAACTTCAGAGTTTTCCGCGCCCGTCGGTACTCCTCATGAAGCCGGTCCTCCTCACCGTCTCCACGGTGACGCCGCCGACTGCGCGTGTAGGACCTCCGGGCACGTGTACAGGCCGCACGGAGGTCCGCCAGCTCCTGGGACCACCAGTAGACCTCCTTCCTTGGAGGCCGACGACCTCGAACGCGGGGCATGGCCGCATCGCATACATGCGTAATCGCATCGCGAAAGCCGCCAGCCCCCACGTCGACCTCCTCGGTCGGAGCCTGAGGAGACAGCCACGAGTGAATTATGGCTGCCTCCTCTAGTAGGTCCCGGTTCAGCCTGGCAACAGCCCACCGCGGAAAGCGGGATAAACGCCGCGCCACGTGACCCCTACTGGAGTCCTGGGTCCGGGAGAGCTCAAATCGGATATACAGGTGATCCGAGAGCGTCTCAACCTCTTCCAGGACACGCCAGTTCCTTACTCGTGCGGCGAGGGCAGGGGTAGCGAACGAGAGGTCCACTATCGACCCCCCCTTCAACCTTCTGCGAGGTAGTAATCTCGCGGAAGGAGGCGGCGGAGAGGGCCCGGGAGGACGACCTCCACTCGAACCCGATCCGCCGCCGGCGAACCGGGCGGCGGAGGCCCGGCTATCACAGCCTCATGCCGCCCTGAGTGTGGCCGCGGGTGGACGGGGTGGGTTTCCCCTCCACCCGCATTAGTTGGCCAGCCGCGAGGGGGCGGCGTCCTCGTGTGCCGGACGTCGCCTAAAGAGAGGAACATCCACATTGAGACGGAGCCCGCACCAGGAGCGGGCTGGCGCTAGGAGGGGTCCGGATGTCTTAACAACAGCTGTTCCCGGATCCCTCCTGTTACAGGCGCAGAGTGGCACACCGTGTGGTTTTAGTCGGTCCGAGTCCGACACACCACCCCGCCGCAAACCCCGGAGGGGTGACGGTCCGAGGGGATTTCCACACGTAAAAAAAAAAAAAAAAAAAAAAAGGGTTTGTGTCAAGTTTTCCTTCTCTCTGCAGTGCTGTTTTTCGGCATAGTTTTCACCCTTAGTCGGCTCTTACGACACCCACGGGATCAATAGGGGTGGTGACACTGTATTCTTAATCCGTCACAACATGGACTATAATGTTATATGAGACTTAGAAATATATTTACATAGTCTTAAAAGCCTTCGTCATCAACAGAGTGTAATACGCATAGACCTATCCCTAGAAAGGAAGTTTTATCGTACTCCTAGTTTTTGTGTCAAGTTTTCCTTTTCTGTACAGTGCTATTTTCCTGCGTAGTTTGCTCCGTTAGTCGGCTCTTACGTTACCCACGAGATAAATAGGGGCGGCGACACTCCGTATTCTTAATCCGTTATTCTTAATGGTTAAAAAAGCCTCAAGATGATGAAAATATTTACATTCTGAGTATAAAGCGTATTCCTAGCAAGGCCAGGTTCGTCATTCTCGTTCTGTTTACTCTTGCCAGGAGCTACCAGAGACCCTGACGAAAATCAGGTTATAAAGGATGTCTTAAATATTTTTAGAAGAAATGGTACGTTTTTTTCTATGCCCAAATCCTTTTTTTGTTTCCTTGCGGAAATCCCCTCGGATACCACCTGTCGGTGGCATGTCGGACTCGAACCGATTAAAACCGCACGCCGTCTGGGGTACTAATAGCCGGGGAACCAGGTATACCCTAGAAAAGAAGTCCCTGGTGCCCAGCCCAAATCTCCTAGGAATTTCGTTTAAATCGAACTGTAATAGATAATGACATAAAATGTAATGCAGTCAATCTCCATGTGAGTGTTCATCAATGTTTTCTTTATTTGAAAGTATTCAATAATGCACCCTTTTCATTATGGATTTATTGAACATTTGACCAGGTATGGTCGCTTAAGCGTACCTTGTACTTGACTCATTGCCGATTCAAAGACTTAGGCGTAATCAGTGCGAATCAGTGATGTGACAAATCAAGGTGAACGGTAAGGACTGATTATCACATTGATTAGATTGTCAAATAGATATTTTCAGACGCAATTAAGTAAAGTATTGTACTGTTTTGTACTGAGTGTTGTGAGTTCGATCTACACATGGGACAACACTTTGTGAGCCAAAAATTGTTTTTCTGAATCAAGATGGCCTTAGTGTCTGTTTTATGAATGTTTAAAAGTTCCTCGAGACACATGATATAGGTATTCCTGTGTCCTGTGATCCACAAATTGTTGTTCTGAGTATGGGTGTTCTTTGTGTCGGTTTCATATATGTTTAAAAAGTCCCTTGCAACACAGTTTATATTCCTAGTTCAGGAGTTGTCCATAAGTAACAAAATCAAGTTATTGTAATAACTCTAGGCTCTGTGGGGAGGAGCCCCACAGAGCCAGAAATCCGAAGGGATTTATCAAAAAAAAAAATGGTTGTTTTAAAATATTTTTTTCTTAAACGTCTAAACATGTTTAGTTTTAGTTTTACTCGTAGTTAGTTGTGAGATACGTTTCTTACGTCCTTCAAAAGAATTTAAAAAATCTTTACTTATACATTGCTTTGTTATCAACAGTAACTTATCATATGTCAATGCAATAAAAATAAGATAGGTAGATAGGATATTTTGGACACATGCTCATTAGACGGTAATTGACTAGATTGAACTTATGTTAAAATGAGTGTGTATATTAATTAGGAAATTTATAGGCTATGTTGTAAAAAGGCCAAAACCTCCTTTCTAAGGAGAGGCCTATGTCCAGCAGTGGACTAGTATAGGCTGTTGATGATGATGATGATGATTGTAAAAAAAAATGAGTTTTACCTCACAAGTTGCATATATCTTCGATCTCTCACAAGCAGGAGGTCGGTTGGCTCGTATTGCCACTCTGGTGTCACGTGAATGCCACCCTTCGACGTCAACATGCGCAGGGTTGAGGACATCGTAAATGAAACCGGTCACCTAAAACAAGATAAGGCTATAAAAAACATATTTCATTCATTTCCCTTCCACCAATAAATTATTGTTTATTTAGTCAGAAATACGGATGGCATAAATTTTAAATCATTTACAAGTAATCATTATCAAATATGTATTAAGAACATTCACTTATTACTCTTTCTGTTGTCTAAATGACCTCTTATTTACATGTAGGTAATCTCCCTTATTAAATCGCACACGCTTTGCGTTTGGGAATCTTCATCAACCTCCCTTATCAAGCGCTTGACGCAGAAAAATCAAACAAAATGATTGTTATAGTCCATCAACGTCGTGCGCGACCGTCCTGCGGGGTGATAGACGGTGGCGGGGACGAGGTACTCAAGATGTCAGCGGGTAGCGGGTGGTGTAGCGGGGAAGGGAAACACTTCTCTACGTGTGTAGCCGTGTGCTAGAATGACGCGCTACCTCGCCCCCGCCACTGTCTGTCACCCCGCGGGACGGTCGCGCATGAGATTGTCGGGTTATAGATCTCTGCATCCCACAATCATTTTATCGATAGAATAATATTATTCAGTCATTTTTTTGAGTGAAAACTTCTTAAGGCGCGTTGGGCATTTTCGAACATCAAACAAAATAATGTATTTTATGGTTACTGTTACCGACACCTCTGTATATAAGTATATAAATTTTCACTTCTGTCGGCACTCCCGGAGTGCCACTATTTTTTTTTTAAGATAAAGGGGGTAAACGAGCAGATGGGTCACCTGATGGAACGTGACTATCTCTGGCCATGAACGTCTGCGATTTAGGAGTCACAAACACAAGGCCGGCCGGCCTTTGTTTAAGGAGTACACTCTTTTCTTGAAGGTTTAAAGGTCGTATCGGTCCGAAATTTTGTTGTAGAGATTGGTTGTGCAAGGTAATTTTTTTTTAAAACAGAGGTGGAATCCCGGGGACCCCATGGGGACCGGATGTTTTGCCGCGTAGGAAGAACAATGTTAAAATAAAACAGATAGTAGTACAAATAAGTATACATATCCCATAAATCACATCCACTCACACACATCACATCCCATAAATTAGGTTAGGTCTTGTTCTTCTAGCTAGTTACATACAATAAGCTAGGGACCTTCCAAAGACAAGTTCTATATAATATATTATATGAACCCTGTGTTTAATAATAAACTATTATTGCATATACGTATATACAGTACCTGTCCGTGTGGTGACGGATTAAGAATACAGAGTGTCACCACCCCTATTCATCCCGTGGGTGTCGTAAGAGGCGACTAAGGGAGCGAAATACGCAGGACAACAGCTTTTGGCTCCTGAGATGAGCAGGAGATCCGAAGGGATTTTCCACCCCGTCAACAAAAAAAAAAAGGGCACGAACACAAAGCAACACGTTTAAAATTACCTATGCTTGCGTTGTGTCGTGTGTAGGTATTTGTGTGTAACACACACACAATTATAAGAAACACAGATGTGTATGTTGTAATTAAGTTAGAAATGTACCTCATTGCTTAGTATTAAAAGGAATATGCACAACCTTCTTATAAAAGGTTCATTTTATATAAAAATTACCATCAGAGGATATGTGGCGTTCATTTCATGGTTGCCCACGATAGATAAAAATATTTTTATAAAAGGTGTTTGTACCCATGAATTGTTCCATATTTTATCCTCATGGGTCGTTTGGTTACTTACCGTAAAGTTACAAATTTAAAAATTATTATACAGTGAACTTAAACAATTGCATATGTTGTATACATCTATGTATATATGCATACCTAGAGTTATGCATATATGTATGCAGAGAGCTAATGCTTGCCTTGAATAAGAATACAGTTTCCGTTTAAAGAAAGAATGAAGTGTACTTAACTACTGCATGATTGTAATATTTAGTCTCCCATATAAATCATTTATTGTTAAAGCATTTTAATTAGTATTGACAAACAGTTTTTATTCATCTGAAGCTCAGGTTCAGCGTTTTTTTCTACTATTTCACAAGTTTCAACGTTGTATGTTAATACCTGACATTAACATACGAATAATAAGAATCTATGATACTTAAGATGATTAAGAATTCTACGATCCGTCTAACGGGAAATGGTCACGATATATCTTCTCTCTTGTATCAACAGTTTAATAGTCCACTGGGCCTCTCCATAGAAAGTAGGTTTTGGAGGTTTTGGCCTACTATACCACGCTGGCCAGACAGGTGCTATAGGGTTTGTTTCAAGCTTTCCTTCTCTTTGCAGTACTGTTGTCCTGCGTAGTTTGCTCCCTTACTCGGTTCTTACGGCACCCACGGGATGAATTGAAGTGGCGTCACTCCGTATTCTTAATCCATCACCACACAGACTACACAGACCCTCCTCTCCTCTATGAACCTTTACAATACTAGGGGATTCACGGTTCAAATCCATTTTTATTGTGGTGTAGGGCGCCAAACGAAAAGACAGATCAGTAGATGATAAGTATGTACCACCACGCCTCCCATGAACACATACAACTCAAGAAAACACAAGTGTGTCGCTGTCTTTTGCCTCACTCACATTGGTAACCTCACTCACTTGGTGAAAAGGAACAAATAATTGCTTAACACCGACTTTCTACGAGTCCGTGATATCTCTCGGCCCTCATGTGCCAAAGCTATTATATTTTTAATGCTTCATCATTATCTGCATGGAAAGCCATGATTGATCAGGCAAAGAATGTCTTAAAAGTTTTAGAAAATATGATAAACCTTATACTTTTTCGGCCCTTCTCTTTCTTCCTAGTCGATCCCTCACTGCTGAGGATCGTGACTCCCTTTCATCCTGTCAACCATCTGTTTCCATCGGCTGCGATTATTTGCTTGGTGGAGTGCGATACTTATTGGCATTTCTAGCTGTTCAGCGGCCTTTGCTAGCTTTTCGGCCCTAATCAAATAAAAATCGGGTCCGGTAGTATCAGTACTTCTTATATTCCAATGTCAAGTCGTGTCCGGTGCGTCACGCACGGTAGTGGCATTGCGCCAACAGCTGATGAAATGTAGGTTAACCTATCTACAACTCCATATACAGTTTTTTTGTTTCAACTTTTAAGTAGTTTTTCTTACTTATTTAGTCTATTCCAAATAAATTAATGTTATTTTCTTATTGGTTTACAAATTTTACAATAAATCATTTATTTTTACTATGCCTATATCTTTGCGCCGCATACAATATGTATTTCACTTGCACTAATCATTGAAACTCCTTAATTTCTTACAGGTCAGCATTCTAAATCACAGAACCTAAGATTTAAAATAGCTGAACATTCTGAAAAGTTTACGTGTTGTTAGGCATTTCCTTTCTATCTTTTGTGGGTGTGATGATCTTGAGATTTATGGAATTACCCCTTATCTTTGACGTGTACAAATCTCCACGGATCCTCACTTCATTGGGGCAGAGGGACATGTTGGGCTCGAACTGACTAAAAGCACAAAGTGTTTTGTCACTGGTTGTGTCTTATACGTCCCTGTAAATCCTCTCCGACTTAAACGGCCTTTCAAATAGTAGATAACGCTTATGTAGAGTGACAGAGGTCTTGTCATTCATCTGATGCAGAGATTTGACTGCACGGATGGCGTAGTGGTTTAAGCGGTAGCCACGCCGCTTCCTACTACACCGAGTGTTGTGGGTTCAAACCCCACATGGGACGACACTTTGTGTGATAAACAAATTGTTGTTCTGAGTCTGGGTGTTCTTTATGTCCGTTTCATGTATGTTTGTAAAGTCCCTCGCGACACAGGATATTTTCCTAATGCGGGAGTTGTGTTTTTATTATAAAAAAAAAAGATGCGCGCATTAAACATGAAGCTGTCTTAGACCTGTATCTGATGTAGTGACGGAGCAAGAGGTAACTCGTCCCATTTCAGAGAGATCGTTTGGCACTCTCTTGCACCTGGGGCGCATTTTGCACCCAAGAAAGTTCTCCTTCTTTTTCTTTCCGTGCGGAAATCCCCTCGGATACCACCTATCGGTGGCATGTCGGACTCGATCCGACTAAAACCGCACGCCGTCTCGGGTACTAATAGCCGGAGAACCAGGTATAAGTACCCTAGAAAGGAAGTCCCTGGTGAAGAAACTTCCCCTACAAAAAGTAGATGTCGCTTAAAGGTATTCAGGTTCTTCTTGGCTTAAAGGTAAAAACTCATCCAAATAAACTTGCCAAATTATTGATCTTGCAACCTTTGAAGTTTATTTTAGACACAAAAAGTAGCGTAAGTCCTTTGTCAAGGTTTTATTTATCTTTGTACAAATTCATAATAATTGAGTCTACGTGTTAATGAATTACAACTAACTTTACATTTTGACTTACATTCCGCGTCTCTAGCAAACCGTACTGAATTTCAGGAAAAAAAACATTAACATCCTAGTAGTATAAACTTAAGTTAAGCTAAGTTTCGTTTAAATCCTTTTAGAATTGGTACCAAACGCGCCTACGATACACACACACAAACAAGAAAATACAGTTTTGGCTTTAGTATTAATTATTACAGAAAAAAATCTTAAATGAACAAAAATAAAGTAAAGTACAGTACAAAATACAGTTTATTATAAGTAAAGATTTAAATAAATTCTTAAATATTAGTAAGTAGTATCTTGATTCTCATGATTAAATCTAATCTTAAGCAAATACTTTATAATTAAAATATGATCGTAATTCATAAATACCTGATTTTCACGTAGAATAGTTGTCCAAAGCAAGCATTTAAAAAAAGTTAATAAGAAACTGCGATCACGCATATTGTCCATAAATCACTTCACGGCGTTCGCAGAACATAATGATTCACAAACGTTTTACCATCACACTATCAGCAAACTATGTCTTTATCCCAGTGGCCGTTTTAACAGCCTCCGTATAACAATGCACTTATAAATTTGTTACTGGTCTGAGAGCGGCGAGAAAGTGTTTGGAAACAGAATAGCATCCAACATTCCAGCACGAGGAAAATCCATAACAGCTTTTGTTGATTGTCTTCAGTACTGAATGTATTTTCATTCGCTGCGATAGACCGACTAATTGTGCTAAACAACTCACTGTTTACAAATTATCTACATCCACAATCACAATGATATCTATCTAATTTATTACCTATAACTTGTGGCCCAAACTCTGTTTAAATAATTATTTTAAAAAAACATCTACCTTTTCTCTTTCATTTTTGAATATTGTTAATGTTCATTTAAATTTGAAAAAAATATATTAACAATACCTAGGTACGTATTAGAAATTCTAGACTTTAGTCGCGTTTATGGGCACTGCTCCGTTTGGAAGGGCGTTACCGTGATGCTGGTGATACATAATCTATAATCTGCTTTAATAATTACTTCATCCAATGCATAAAAAAGTATTGTTATCTGACGTACATTTCCAGAGACGAGCATTTTTAAACAAACAACCAAGGAAATAACGATTCTGTTTTATAATCATTATTATAATAATAACATAAAATAAAGATAATCAAGTTACGGATAGAGAGTAGGTAGGATCATCCTTCATATTTATTATTTAGCTTAGACATACTCATTGAAGCCAATATGATTTAATCAAAATAACTTAAATCACGATATTGAATTATTAATTATTTGCGTCATTGGATAGTTGTAATCTTATCTTGGCATTTAAAAATAATCAATATGTGGCACAATGGCTTTGATTCTCTTATAATATGATAAAAACTTAATACTCGTATGTGAGACACTGAATTTAACATTGACACCATTATGCGGGGTTGTCTGGAAGATCACAGGAGCCCTTCAAACTCGAGACAAGTATTGGTGCTTTGACACTCTTGTAGAGACCAAAATTCTATCTGAATTTTGAAACAAGAGATATTCCAAATGCTAAAATAACCAAGCGAAGGAATTAAAAGATTTCTCATGAATAATTTGACTTAGTATTTAACGACCTATTTTTCCGAAAATGAAAGATAATTGAACCGTCAGCGGTACGTACTCGTACTCACTACTCTAATAATGTTACAGTTTTGTTTGTTTGGGTCTGTTGTTTTCGTTTCATCGTTATTCCAATCTCTACACCAAAGCCACGACAAAATATCAAACCACATAGATGAAGGAACGAAGTACAATCTTATGATTTGTGACAAAATCAAAATTGATTAACAATTTCAAACATATTTTAAAATTTTCTTCCCCATCACCTGGATAGATGGCGCTCCAGTACTGTTCGCTTTTCGAAACACTTTTTGCCTCGCACAACCAATCTGTGGAACGGGTTATCGTGTGCGGTATTTCCGGACCGCTACGACCTTCAAGCCTTCAAGAAAAGAGCGTACTCCGTCCTAAAAGGCCGGCAACGCGTTTGTAACTCCTGAGTTGCAGACTTTCATGGGCGGCGACGGTCACTTTCCATCAGGTGACCCGTGTGCTCGTCTGCCCCCTCAAACATATTTTTTTAGACAAAAATCATTTTCATTATTTCATTACGAATGATCATAAATTAGTTTAAAATCATATATTTCCTAATTGATTAATTTATATTAGACTTGCAACGAATAGTATATTCGGCAGTATACCGAATACCGAATATTCGGCGAGGCCCCTGACCGAATAGCCGAATATTAGGCAAAAGTATTTGGCTGGATTTTAGCGCCAAAAACTTGTACAGACGTGAATTAAATTATGTACCTGTTTTATGTACCAATGACTACTTAATAAATGATTATAAAAGAAATGAGAACCTTACCCTTCTAAATGTTGATTACCACAATAATTCAAATACATAGAATCCTCCATTTTTCCTATTCAGAAGATGATTATGTAGCTGTGTTATGCACCAATGACTACTTAAATGATTATAACAGAAATGAAAATATGAATATATACGTAATCAATCGATTTTAATTTTTCATTTTACCAATTATTTCTCAATGACAAAATATATTATTTAAGTATTCGGTATTCGGCCGAATAATATGTAGATATTCGGTATTCGGCCGAATATAATAAAAGCAGCCGAATAGGCCGAATACCGAATAGTAACCGAATATTCGTTGCAAGTCTAATTTATATCTAAATATATTCAAAGGGAAGTTATAAATTAATGTATTTAACCAAAGTACTTGTTTACCATCTTTATTGTATTTATTCAGTATGATCTAAACTTAGTCTAAATCTTGTTATAATACGCTAGTATGTCCTATTTCAAGGTTTCAAGGCTTGGGCTCCGGCAGTAAAACCTCACAGCTAGTTATGATCGGATGGCGTAGTGGTTTGTGTAACGGACTGCTATTCCAAAAGTCACGGATTCGATTCCCGCTCAAGTCAAACATTTCTGTGCATGAACATTTAATGTTTGAATTGGTCTGGGTGTTTCTATGTATATAATATGTATGTATTTACAAAAAAAAGTATATACATATGCATTTATATCAATTGTCTAGTAACCATAGTACAAGCTCTGCTTAGTTTGGGATTAAATGGCGTTGTGTGAATGTGGCACAATATTATTATTATTATAGAGGTTTTAGGTTAGGACCCCGTCTTCCATGGAGGATTTGTATCTTTATACTAAATATTACAACCGTCTGCTAGCATGTGTTGCAACTATAATAGATAAGGCATTAATCGTACCCGGCAGTCTATCTGCGTTGACCCTATCCGTAGTATCGTTTTAGGGTTCAATAGAAACATGACTTTACATCTACTAGGAAGTTATTCAAATAATTGATGGCTATAAATATTTTTGTTTGAAAAATTTAACCCGTTACACAACACAAGCTACATACCTATTTTTGTACTAAATAGATCAGAAGCGCACTGCAAGTGCGATAACATTGTGTCTTACATGACAGAGCAATAGTAAAATCCTATCTTTTGTTACACACATTATATTTTCTATACTATGATGGCGATTAAACACATTGTAACTAAAAATACACTATCTCAAGATCGGAGTTTCTTGGAGAATGATATCTGAAATAGAATAGATGGCTAGTTCAAGATAACTTGGAGGAGGCAAAATATAGAGACACGTGTTAGAGTAGACCTTTGACCTACATAACTATTCAAGATGGCTGTAACTATAATAGTAGAGCTCATTTTCTTTCGTTGTTGTTCTGCATATACTGTATATTATCTCTGAGAAACAATTCTTAATACTTATTAATTCCACTTTTATATTTTTTAGGAATCGTCAGCAAAAATTAATGTGATTTTAGTTTAGCTATCTTAAGAAGCTGTCTCATATCAGTTTCAAAATGGAATTGAAATGAGAATATTGAAGAATTTTCAGTTTTGTCCAACTTTCATTGGAGAGCGAACCAAAACGGAGAGCAGCCGCGCCCCGTGACTTTTGTACACTTCTGTAGAGGAATTAAAAAAGTCCAAGAACATTTTAAAAAACCAGTTTAGTGATGTTTTCCCATCAATATAGTGTACAATTCCTTTTTTCTCCATAAAGAACCAAAAAGCGACCATGATATACAAAATAATAAGCTAATCAATTCTAAATACTCATAAAATACTAGCGACAAGCCCGGTTTCGCACGGGTGCAATGTACTCGTATTTTACATACTAGCTGACCCTGCAAACGTTGTTTTTCTATTTACATTATTTAATTATTTTTTTCTTTTTTTGAATTTCTTAAAATCCGTTCTTAGCTGACCTCTACTCGGTGAAAAGAATATTCCTACCAAATTTCAATTCTTTAGCTCTAATGGTTCCAGAGATATCGTGATGAGTGACTATATACGTGGAATATATAGATAAACCTACCTCTTCAATCACTCTCTCGATTGAAGAAAACTACACCAAATCCATTGCCTAGTTTGAAAGATCTAAGCGTACAAGAAAGGGAAACGACTTCATTTTATACTATGTAAAGAAGATACAACATTGCCATTTTAAACAATTTATCTCCCGAAAATGCTAAGATAAACTATTCTCAGTTATGACGAAACTTAAACGACTTTTTATACACATATTGTTATTGATAGGAACACACATTATTAAATGTTATAAACAAAGTGATATATGTACCTGTTTAAGTTTTATTTATCGGTTATTACTATTAATGTTCCCTACAACAACACACTGATTAATTATGGGTAATCTCAAATACACGTCATAAAATACTCGTATCAATTCGGGGTAAACTTACAATCCCCTGTCTTTGTTTTTAATCCACACTTAAATCGTCACCATGGCGAATATGTAATTATTGTGACTACCACGGGTGACGCTCAACAATAAAGAATAAGAACAAAAGAGAAGAATAATAATTTAATTCCTCAACGAGGGTACGACTGTATTCGGGCACGCCGTCATCGCGGCGGTAAGACCCGTTATGGAGGATTGGCTCGAGAGGCGTCACGGGACCCTCTCATACCGATTGACGCAGGTGATCACTGGGAAGGGATGTTTCGGGGATCACCTGTGTCTGATCCGCAAGGAGCCAACGCCTGACGGAGTTCTCTCGCTCTATAGCCTGATTGCGGCTATCGTGCGGAGCGAGAGTGCGTGGAACTCTGCCGTCTCCTTCTGCGAGCAAGTTATGCTCGCGAAGGAGACGGCGGAGGTTTAGGTTTAGGACTCTCCCGGCCCGCCAGGCCCGGGAACGGGCCAGGTACCGCAGGCAACTCAGGCGCCGGAGGTCGCAGAACGACCTCCGTCCTCCATAAGCGCAGGCCTGGGGGTGACAGGTGAGGCCATCTGTCACCCTAGCAGAAGCAGGCCGGGGTGGCGGCGAGCGCGTTGCGAAGCGCGCTCGTTTCCAGGGAGC